GCATTTATAGCACCATCATCCTCAACAGATGGATGAGGCTTTGCTGTGTAGTGTGAGGTTTCTATATAATAAGGTTCCAGCTCCGTTATCAGTTTGGGTTTTTAGGTTATGATGAAACAGACATTATGGAAGTTCTTGTTTGTGAACTCATGACAACTGTTGTCAACTCGTAACACACTGGTAAATGGTTTTGTCTAATTTTCAAAAAACAACATTCATATGATTTGCTCGGTGTAAAAGGTCAGCCCTCATGAGCATCAACAATGTAATATCAAGAAAATAAGTGCATATCATTGAGTGAGGTGTTGACTTGAATACCTAATTAAGGTCATCATGAGAGGATTATTCAGCTCCTTGCCTACCTAGCTCGTGTATGGAATAATCTAGAAAGCCTGTGGGTTGGACAGTTCAGCTGACCTTTCAACTCGTAACCATTAAGCCTAACATGGGCTTAGTCTGGACCTGTGAATAGCAGTTATCTGCTTTCTTTGTTCTTTACCAGTCCCATTGTCCAACCATATGAATAACAACACAAAAACCATAGAATGACAGCCTAAAGGTAAAGACCTGCCTATTTACTCTCCATGAAAGCCTAAAATACCATGTTGGTTTGTTTAAGGCCTGATGGTGGACATTGTGTATTTACTGTAGATATTCACAAACAATGGTTCATTATTATGTCACTATTACACCACAGGGATGTGACTGCATTATAAACCTTGATGGTTCCTTCCAACATATTGTTCAACAGTTGAATGTTTGCAGGATGAATCACACCTGACTCATAAGGACTCTCCTTATTCTCTCTGTCACTCAGGTGTGGAAAGTAGCATCCACCATGTACAGCTGGGCAGTTCCATGGTAACGGAATTATGCTGAGACTCATTTTAAAAATGTATACCAAACAAAAAACATTGATTTAAAAACTTTTTTTAACACACCATAGAACTCTATGCACAAGGACAACTTTTAACAATTTCCATTGAAAATATTACAAAAACACAGAATACAACTGAGGGAGATTTTACTTTAATTCTGTTACCAAACTTTGCATCTGCACAATTTTCCCAGTAAATGTTTAATTGTAATTTTTTAACTGTGTAAATTGTTCAAAGTAGTTATTGTGCATAGAGTTGTATGGTTTGTTAAATTTTGAAATCAATGGTTTTTGTTTGGCATATATTTAAATGTGAAAAATCATAGTCTTTGTGTAATTCCCTTACTATGGAATTGCCCAGCTGTGGCTTACTCGGCCTCATAAAAATGTAGTACGGATGGTAGTCTTCTTCACTACAATCCCACCAGGTCAAATATAGTTTTTCATTTCCTAACACTCACATGTCGAGAGGCCAAAGAGAAGACCACATCCAGTCCCTTGAACTTCACGTCCTCTATTATCTTGCATTAATGCACGTTGCCAGTTTGTGACAGCAGCCATGTGCGTTCCTGATCTCAGTGGCGTTAGTAATTTTGTGTTGCGGCTGCTCCAGGAGTCACATGACGCCAGTTTGCGAGGCCGTTGTGAGAATGCCTCGATTTGCCTCAGCTCTTTCAGAGAGAAAGGCCTCGCAGACAATGCAGTGCAGTTACTGCTATTCATCCTGTTCTTGAGAGACTCCAGCCTATTCAAGCCAGGCTGCTATTCCAGCACTGCTCCACATGACTCCATGAGACAGACAGAGATCCGCTGGCTCGGTCCTTTGCCATGGCAACTTTAGAATTGGAACATAAAGCAGTTGTCGGGCTAGGAGCTGTAATATCAAGCCGTTGTCTCACAAACAAGCGCTCTATGGCGGTGTCAAATGGCTGCCTCGGGACAAAACATCCTGGAATGCTCAGTACTAGTATCCTACTGTCCGACTGAGACAGACCTATTCACTGATCGTTAACATCGAGGGGAACTGAGCCATCTGCCCTAGTATGAGGCTGCTCTCAAGATGTCTTCATTACTTCCTCACTGTCCTCCTAACATTGGAATGCACACATACAGTATGTCAGACAATGAAAGTGATCCAGGTTTAACTAACAGACCGAGTAAGACAAAGTAGGCTACAAAGCCACTGAAAAGCAAGAAAAAGCGATCGCGAATGAGCATAGAAACTGTTTTATCACCACCCCCTTGTTGTGAGTTTCCTGGCTTAAGTGAACAGGAAGATGCCCCGATTGAAAGGAGAACCATCGTCCTGTGTTCCATTGATAAGCAGAAGTTCCCTGGAGCCTTCTAGATAATAAGTCTCCCCTCACTGCTCTCTCAGAGATAGATACTGTCTCAGTGCCGTTCACCGTCCCTTTGTCCCAGAACCATTCTCTAACAGTACCACCCTTAATGGTCTATTTGGACTTCCCTCACAGTTGTGGCTCATTGTCTATCTCCATCTGTCTATCTCTGCCTCTGTATATCTCACTGCGGACTCATAACTTACTCTCTTAGTCTCCCTGTTTAAGGGTGATAACACTGACCTACCGTGCTGCATTATCCAGGAGATGAGTAGCCATGACAAAATGGGACCTTTGGTCCTTTACTGTCTGCCATTGGTGTCTGGTCATCCTCACATTCATTCATCCTCCTCCCTACTGTTTACTCTGGTCGCATGCATGAGCAGTCATCTAGTCTATGGGTTGATTGGTCTGAAGGAGCTAAATCAGAGAAATTATCTCATATTTCGCAACATGTCTAATGTAAGCCATGTAGTGTTTTGTGTGGGTGTTCTTTTTGAAGGAGTAATTTCCTTCATCTGAACCGTGTGTATATCATAGATCTGAGAGGCCCTGACCTCTTCAGGGCCCCAGCTGTTTTCTAATAGAGAAGACGGATCCCCTACCAGTATGTGCCTTACCTCGTCCTCTGTTTAACTACCTCCCAACTCTGTCTGTTAGTCAGACTCTGCAGGATAGCCTGGGTCGTACAGGATGGGGGCTGGGTAAAGGGTTGTTGGTTGCTTGGCTGTAATAGTCTTGTAGTAATAAAAGGAACAGTTAAACAGCCAGGCTGTAAATCGCTGACTGGGCCTCCATCAACACACGGCCTGCTGTGACAGAGCAGGTTGTCATTATGACTGGAGCATCCTGACTGGTTGACTGGCTGGGACCCCATTCTCCTATTCACACAGCCCAACAGGTGTCCCTCCCTCTCTGGCCTTTAGGTACATAACCTCATCAGCCCCTATGTTATTTTATGGCACATAGCAACTGTTGCAGTTGCCATGCGAAAAGACAAACAGGCAACAATGCTTTATGCTGTTAGTACAGGTCCAGGAGTCAGGACTATTAGCAACTGCTGAGATTAGGTTTATATTAACTAACTATATGTGAGGTTCATTTCATATCGTTTCAACCTAGAAACATCTACCCTCTCCCAAACACACCAGCCTGTTTATGAAGGCCAGAATGTAATCCCTTCTCCGAAATGACAATGAGAGGTGATATCATAATCAGGGTTTACGGTCACGCCCGTACTGTAGCTGTGCTGTTGTGTTGTGTGGTCTTATTATCAGGTGAGACAAAGACCAGTCGCTGGCCCCTCTTTAAACCAACCAGATAAGGATGCATAGTACTTCCTACTGCGTGCTTGAGACGAGAGCCTTCTGAATTTATTTTTCATTCAGCCTTAGATTTGTAAATACAGCGTAGCCTCTGATTCACTGAGCAAACTTCCTGTGTGCCAGGGAGCCAGCCAGTGAGGGCAGGCAGACTAAGGGGAATCCAACTCCTCATATACTGACTGGCTTTAGTGGCCTCTGCTCTGTGCTTATTAAGACAGGAGCAAGGTACACACACTGCCCAGCCAGTGGATCCTAACAAAACATAGACCTGGTTTATTTTCGTACAGGTTAATACACCTTGATTTATTGATTTTTAATGTAACTCCTAAGGGGCTGCATTGATGTCCTTAATCATTAGCAATACTGCAGTTTCACGTAAATGCCGGAGATTTAAATAATGGTTATTTCAGAATGGACCAGTTATTTCTGTCCATCTTTTAAATGTGTTACGTATTAAAGTGATGAATGACAATCTCCTTAAACTCTTGTGAATAATGGGTTGCTATGGTAAAATCCTTGGCAGACATAGACTGAGACTCTTGGCTAGCGTTTAAACTCCACAATACTGAATGTGTTTTGTCAGAGTAAAGTGAAGTAGATAGAAGTAAATGAAGTAGAGACCAGTGTGGTGTTTAATGATGCAAGAGTTCATCCCTCGATGGTGTATTCTTGAGTAAAGCGCTCCATGGAGAGTTTATTCATTAGAAGGGCTAGGCGTCATCATGGCAGTTCTCCATGGAGCTGTGGCCAAACCGGAACAGAGACTGAGGACTGGGACTGGGACTGAATACAGACAAACCAGGCTTTCTTAATCGTGGGAACAACTGCAGGGCTTGGGTTGAATGAGGATTGAAGATTCACTCACTTGTGTATAAATATTTACACCCTTGGCTAAAACAACACAGTCTAACTTTGTCATATGAAGGGACTCACTCTACTGTACTCTCACTGTGTACAGTTTGGCAGACAGTAATGTAGTTTCAAATCACATCGCTAAACTGTTATTTTTTTAAATAAAATTTTTTATTCTCAATGCCAGATAATGTCATCTGTTTATTAAAACATAAGCTTAGTGAGTGCATCAACATTTTCTGACGTGTCAACAAGAGAAAGTGCTTTGAGTAGCCATGACCCTCTCAAGTGTTGTGGATTGCTATTTCACTCCTGTCTTTATCAGTGGTTCCAGCAAACTCACCCAGTCTGTCTCCTCCCCAGGCCTCTGACTGTGCCAGCTCCAGTGGGTGGCGCTACACTGGGCCCCTCTCTCTGCCCGCTCAGCACTGATGGGACAGACATCCTGGAGGAATCCTTGACGACCCCTCTGTCTTCCTCCGCCCTCCGCCCTCCCTCTTTCTCCTCCTCCTCCTCTTTCCTTAGACTCTCCTCCTCCCCCGGTCTCTTCTCTCAGCGCTGGGATCATTACTCAACCCTTCTGAAGAATGGAACACAGTAACTGGCATGGATGAACTGGGTCTGCCTGCCAAAGCAGAAAGGGAGAAAGAGAGAGTGAAAGAAAAGCGAGCGAGAGCAAAACCTGTGAGCAAAAGAAGAGAGCAACATATTAAAAATGCCCTTAAGGGAGAAGATCGACAACTGCACTTGAGCAGTATGAGCTAGAAGACCTCCGCAAACCTGCCCACCTGGATCTGTGGATCTGTAGACAGACACACACACACACACACACACACACACACACACACACACACACACACACACACACACACACACACACACACACACACGTCTGTCTTACAGTTGCAGCAGAAGAAGGCTCCTACCCTGCCCTACACTTTGGGGTGTTTTCAGCGTTATTCCCTGCCGTAACATACCTGTGTGAGGAGGAGTGGACAAAAGTGGAGAGGAAATTCAGCAACTCTTAGAGGACAGTGGAAGTTGATAAAAATGCTTCTTTGTTAAAAACAGCGTGTTTCGGCCCATAACCTTTTATCAGGGTTTTAGTAGTGAACAGGACACCACCACCATGCCGGCTAAAGGGAAATACCTGTTGAATGACCAGGAGCTGAAACATGAGGCCCTGTACAGGAAGTTCTCCTGTATCAGCCAGTACCAGCCTCTGGTGCTGCTACTGGGCCTCTCCATGCTGTCCTGCGGAGTCCTCATCATCCTCTTCTTCGCCCTGCAGCTGGTGAGTCCCTGTGTGTGTGTGTGTGTGTGTTTAGCTGATGTGGAATCGCTAGCTAGCGGCCATCGTGTTAGTGACATTGCCTACTGAGACCTAGAAGTGTGTCTGCACCTACCCAGATGGTTGTTGAGACCGTCATGGCCATGTATGACGTGACAGTATGTTACACATCAGAGACCAGCTAATTACAGCTTTTTTGAATGACTGAGTAATATCCGCTGAGGGGGCGTGATGTCCTCACTGGATGAGCTGACAGCTAATGGACGGAGATACGGAGATTAGCACATTAAAGACACTATTGTAGTATGTTCTCTTTCTGTAGTACATTGAACAATTATGCATAGACATACTGAATTAGAGGACAGTTCTTAGTTTTTTTCTCCTCGACACGACAGTCTGTGGCAAGGCATAGCAATATACTAGAGATGATGTTATTGGTGTAGACTTCAGAGTTTAAGAAGCAGGTAATCACTGTATTGGTGTAGCAGGTAAATATGTCACTAGTCTAGAGTTTTAGTAGACATTTTAGGTTACATGTACACGTCTGTGTAGAGCAGTAGGTAATCACTCTGAAACATAAAACGTAATGCAGCACTTAGGTTCCCTCAGTGTAATAAAAGAGGAGTGTTATAAGAGTGTTATTGCAGGTCTGAGCTGTGGGGGAAGTACATAAAAAAAAAATATATATATATATATATATATATATACAAAAATTAACACAAATATAAACGCAACAATTTCAAAGATTTTGCTGAGTTACAGTTCATATAAGGAAATCAGTCAATTGAAATAAATTCATTAGGCCCTTGGATTTCACATGACTGGGCAGGGGTGCAGCCATGGGTGGGCCTCGGAGGGCATCACCCACTTGGGAGCCAGGCCCACCCACTGGGGAACCAGGCCTAGTCAATCAGAATGAGTTTTTCCCCACAAAAGGGCTTTATTACCGACATAAATACTCCTCACCACCCCGCCCTCCCCCCTCTGACGATCCCGCAGGTGAAGAAGCCGGATGTGGAGGTCCTGGGCTGGCGTGGTTACACGTGGTCTGTGGTTGTGAGGCCAGTTGGACATCGTTATTTGCCTGTTTATGGCCTGCCTGTTAGCTTGCACAATTCTTGCCATTCTCCTTCGACCTCTGTCATCAATGAGCTGTTTTCGCCCACAGGACTGCTGACTGACTGGATGTTTTTTGTTTGTCGCACCATTCTTGGTAAACCCTAGACACTCGTGCGTGAAAAGCCCAGGAAGGTGCCTGGCACCGATCATACCACGCTCAGTCGTATAAGTCACTTGTTTTGTCCATTTTAATGTTCAATCGAACAGTAACTGAATGCCTCGATGCCTGTCTGCCTGCTTTATATAGCAAGCCACGTAGGAGCGATCCAAGCTAGCCACTGTCTGTAGGAGCTATCAATTTTCATGAACAGGGTGGTGTACCTAATAAACTGACTGGTGAGTGTGTTTTATTGTCACATACACTGGATAGGTGCAGTGAAATGTGTTGTTTTACAGGGCTTCAGTCAGTCAGGGCCAGTGAACGATAACATGGTTGCGTCTTAAAATGGCACCCTATTCCCTATATAGTGCACTTCTTTGACAAGGGCTCTGGTCAAAAGTAGTGCACTATATAAGTAAAAGGGTGCCATTTGGGACACACTCATGCTGTTGACATTGGCAGGGCCTGAGGCACTGTAGCACTTTTCTCTGTCAGGTGTTGATGCCAAACTAGGTCCATCATCAGGTCTCATTACTGCTCCCTCCTAAAGGAAAATGAGCCCTCACTTTCCTGTCATTGTGCTGCTCTCAGACCCCAGACACACTGATATATGGATTGAGAGAGACTCCCATCACTTCCTAGTCTCAAATTTCTCGCTCGCTCTCTCTCTCTCTCAAGGGGCTTTATTGGCATGGGAAACATGTTTACATTGCCAAAGCTAGTGGAATAGATAATAAACAAAAGTGAAATAAATCATCTGAAATTAATATTACACTCACAAAAGTTTCAAAAAAATAGAGACATTTCAAATGTTAAATTACTGGCTATGTACAGTGGTGTAACAATATGCAAATAGTTGAAGTACGAAAGGGAAAATAAGTAGACAGATCAGTATATACTGAACAGAAATATAAACGCAACATGCAACAATTTCAAAGATTTTACTGAGTTAGTTTATATAAGGAAATCAGTCAATTGAAATAAATAAATTAGGCCCTAATCTATAGATTTCACATGACTGGGAATACAGATATGCATCTGGTGGTCACAGGTGCCTTAAAAAAAATAAGGTAGGGACGTGGATCAGAAAACCAGTCAGTATCTGGTGTGACCACCATTTGCCTCATGCAGCGCGACACATCTCCTTCACATAGAATTGATCAGGCTGTTCATTGTGGCCTGTGGAATGTTGTCCCACTCCTCTTCAAGGGCTGTGCGAAGTTGATTGATATTGGCGGGAACTGGAACATGCTGTCATACATGTCGATCCAGAGCATCCCAAACCTGCTCAATGAGTGACATGTCTGGTGAGTATGCAGGCCATGGAAGAACTGGGACATGTTCAGCTTCTAGGAATTGTGTACAGATTCTTGACATGGGGCCTTGCATTATCATGCTGAAACATGAGGTGATGGCGGCGGATGAATGGCACAACATTGGGCCTCAGGAACTTGTCACGGTATCTCTGTGCCATCGATAAAACGCAATTGTGTTTGTTGTCCTAAGCTTATGCCTGCCCATACCATAACCCCACCACCACCATTGGACACTCTGTTCACAACGTTGACATCAGCAAACCGCTCGCCCACACGACGCCATACACTCGGTCTGCCATCTTCCTGGTACAGTTGAAACTGGGGTTCATCCATGAAGAGCACAATTTTCCAGCGTGCCAGTGGCTATCGAAGGTGAGCATTTGCCCACTGAAGTCGGTTGCAATGCAGAACTGCAGTCAGGTCAAGACCCTGGTGAGGATGACGAGCATATATCTATATATATATCATGCCGATGAGCTTCTCTGAGACTGTTCCTGACAGTTTGTGTAGAAATGATTTGGTTGTGCAAACCCACAGTTTCATCATCTGTCCGGGTGGCTGGTCTCGGACGATCCCGCAGGTGAAGAAGCTGGATGTGGAGATCCTGGGCTGGCGTGGTTACACGTGGTCTGCGGTTGTGAGGCCGGTTGGACGTACCGCCAAATTCTCTAAAATGACATTGGAGGCAGTTTATGGTAGAGAACTGAACATTCAATTATCTTGCAACCGCTTTGGTGGACATTCCTGCGGTCAGCATGCCAATTGCACGGCCCCTCAAAACTTGAGACATCTGTGGCATTGCTTTGTGACAAAACTGCACATTTTAGAGAGGCCTTTTATTGTCCCCAGCACAAGGTGCACCTCTGTAATGATCATGCTGTTTAATAATCTTCTTGATATGCCACACCTGTCAGGTGGATGGATTATCTTTGCAAAGGAGAAATGCTCACTAACATGGATGTAAACAAATTTGTGCACAACATTTGAGAGAAATACGCTTTTTGTGCGTATGGAACATTTCTGGGATCTTTTATTTCAGCTCATGAAACATGGGACCAACACTTTACATTTTGCGTTTATAGTTTTATTCAGTGTAGTTTGTATTTAAAATTGTGTTTTCTTCACTGGCTGTCCTTTTCTTGTGGCAACAGGTCACAAATATTGCTGCTGTGTTGGCACACTGGTATTTCACGTAATAGATATGGGAGTTTATCAAAATTGGATTTGTTTTCAAATTCTTTGTTGGTCTGTGTAATCTGAGGGTAATACAGTGGGGAGAACAAGTATTTGATACACTGCCGATTTTGCAGGTTTTCCTACTTAAAAAGCATGTAGAGGTCTGTCATTTTTATCATAGGTACACTTCAACTGTGAAAAATCCAGAAAATCACATTGTATGATTTTTAAGTAATTACTTTGCATTTTATTGCATGACATAAGTATTTGATCACCTACCAACCAGTAAGAATTCCGGCTCTCACAGACCCGTTAGTTTTTCTTTAAGAAGTCCTCCTGTTCTCCACTCTTTACCTGTATTAACTGCACCTGTTTGAACTCGTTACCTGTATAAAAGACACCTGTCCACACACTCAATCAAACAGACTCCGACCTCTCCACAATGGCCAAGACCAGAGAGCTGTGTAAGGACATCAGGGATAAAATTGTAGACCTGCACAAGGCTGGGATGGGCTACAGGACAATAGGCAATCAGCTTGGTGAGAAGGCAACAACTGTTGGTGCAATTATTAGAAAATGGAAGAAGTTCAAGATGACGGTCAATCGCCCTCGGTCTGGGGCTCCATGAAAGATCTCACCTCGTGGGGCATCAATGATCATGAGGAAGGTGAGGGATCAGCCCAGAACTACACGGCAGGACCTGGTCAATAACCTGAAGAGAGCTGAAACCATTAGTAACACGCTACGCCGTCATGGATTAAAATCCTGCAGCGCACGCAAGGTCCCCCTGCTCAAGCCAGCGCATATCCAGGCCCGTCTGAAATTTGCCAATGACCATCTGGGTGATCCAGAGGAGGAATGGGAGAAGGTCATGTGGTCTGATGAGACAAAAATAGAGCTTTTTGGTCTAAACTCCACTTGCTGTGTTTGGAGGAAGAAGAAGGATGAGTACAACCCCAAGAACACCTTCCCAACCGTGAAGCATGGAGGTGGAAACATCATTCTTTGGGGATGCTTTTCTGCAAAGGGGACAGGACGACTGCACCGTATTGAGGGGAGGATGGATGGGGCCATGTATCGAGAGATCTTGGCCAACAACCTCCTTCCCTCAGTAAGAGCATTGAAGATGGGTCTTCCAGCATGACAACGACCAGAAACACACAGCCAGGGCAACTAAGGAGTGGCTCCGTAAGAAGCATCTCAAGGTCCTGGAGTGGCCTAGCCAGTCTCCAGACCTGAACCGAATAGAAAATCTTTGGAGGGAGCTGAAAGTCCGTATTGCCCAGCGACAGCCCCGAAACTTGAAGGATCTGGAGAAGGTCTGTATGGAGGAGTGGGCCAAAATCCCTGCTGCAGTGTGTGCAAACCTGGTCAAGACCTACAGAAAACGTATGATCTCTGTAATTGCAAACAAAGGTTTCTGTACCAAATATTAAGTTCTGCTTTTCTGATGTATCAAATACTTATGTCATGCAATAAAATGCAAATTAATTACTTAAAAATCATACAATGTGATTTTCTGGATCTGACTTTAGATTCCGTCTCTCACAGTTGAAGTGTACCTATGATAAAAATTACAGACCTCTACATGCTTTGTAAGTAGGAAAACCTGCAAAATCGGCAGTGTATCAAATACTTGTTCTCCCCACTGTATGTGTCTCTAATATGGTCATACATTTGGCAGGAGGTAAGGAAGTGCAGCTCAGTTTGCACCTCATTTTGTGGGCACATAGCCTGTCTTCTCTTGAGAGCCAGGTCTGCCAACGGCGGCCTCTCTCAATAGCAAGGTTATGCTCACTGACTCTGTACATAGTCAAAGCTTTCCTTACCTTTTGGGTCAGTCACAGTGGTCAGGTAATCTGCCACTGTGTACTCTCAGTTTAGGGCCAAATAACATTCCAGAATGCTAGTTTGTTTGGTTAGTTCTTTCCAATGTGTCAAGTAATTCTATTTTTGTTTTGTCATGATTTGGTTGCTGTCCTGGGGCTCTGTGGGGTCTGTTTGTGTTTGTGAACAGAGCGCCAGGTACCAGCTTGCTGAGGGGACTCTTCTCTAGGTTAATTTCTCTGTAGGTGATGGCTTTGTTATGGAAGGTTTGGGAATCGCTTCCTTTTAGGTGGTTGTTGAATTTAACGTTTCTTTTCTGGATTTTGATCATTAGCGGGTATCGTCCGATTTCTGCTCTGCATGCATAATTTGGTGTTTTACGTTGTACACAGAGGATGATTTTGCAGAATTCTGCATGCAGAGTCTCAATTTGGGGTTTCCGGAGACATTTGAAACCCCACCTCTTTAAGGAATACCTGGGATAGGATAAAGTAATCCTTCTACCCCCCCCCCCCCCCCCCCCCCCCTTTACTCCAACCCCCCCCCCCCCCCCCCCCCCCAAAAAACCATTGTAAAGTGGTTATCCCACTTGCTATAAGGTGAATGCACCTATTTGTAAGTCGCTCTGGATAAGAGCGTCTGCTAAATGACGTAAATGTAAAATGTAAATGTAAATGTGAATTATTGGTTTGTGAGCGTACCTCACAGCCATAGAGGGCAATGGGTTCTATAACTGATTCAAGTATTTTTAGCCAGATCCTAATTGGGATGTCGAATGTTAGGTTCCTTTTGATGGCGTAGAACCCACCACTAATGTTTTTGTGGCAGGTTAGTTAGCATGTGTAGGCTAATGCCTATTGTTAAGTGCACAGGCCGGTGAGGATAAGAGTGTAATAAAGTCACTGTGTTCAACTTGTACAACTTCCCTCTCCACTGTGGATGGATGGACTACCTGTTAGAGACCATGAGCCCACCAGTGAGCGAGAGGAGGGCATGCCAACATATATTTCTAAGTGGTACTTAAACAGGATAGTTGGCCTCAGATTGAACAAAGAGCCTATTGAGAGCCCTGTTGTTTTTAGGTGGATGAAGTCATTTAGATTCTAACAGAGTACAAAGAGAGTAAGAGAGTCAGAGAGCACGGAGAGGATGCTTTTAGTGGTCCTCATTTTACATAACCGTTAACTTAACCCACCAACGGACACTAGAGAGAGTGTATGTTCTTGTGGGTTTACTTTGGTCATTATTGCAGAATTACGTTTTGCACAGTTTGTTTCCTACCCTAAAGAAGTGATCTGATTTTAAGCTCTACACCACAGAGCACGCAATCTTCTCCACATGATAACAAACAAAACCTGACGTAAATTTCAATGCCCAACAGACGAAAACATTCACTCATGGCAGGCTGAGACTGAGCAGATCCCACCTGGGTCATTGCTTTTCAGATGAGATTTCGAGAGGAGAGGATCAGAACCAATCTGTTCTCTAATTGTATAGACTAGTTTCAGTACTTCCTTCCATCTGAAAATAAATGAGAAAAGGACATGAACAAGTCTGCTATAGGTCGATTTAGTGGGTGTGGCCGTAGTTAAATGTGCTAGTAAAGGCCTTCACTTCTGCTACCATGGAAACCAGCATACTCAATAGACAATGCCGGGATGGCCTTCTGCTCAGGGACCTTTACACAGTCATTCCTGCTCTCCTTGGCATTGAACTCTTTCCCATTCTCTCTTTCTCTCGCTCCCTTGCTTTCTCGCTAACTGGCATGCACACAAGTGTATACACACACACCAGAAATCTATATCTGAGCCTCCTCTGTGTAATTAAATCAGGAAGATGCTGTGGCCTCTAGCAACAGGACATGACGCAGAGACAGATGTGCAATAAGCCTGGATAAACCACGATGCTGAATTAGATAGTGGCCGCTCTCATGTGTAGACAGTACATAGGCATAATAAAGGGACTGGAATGATGTTGAGGGAATGTTGTTTAGGCATATCATTGTACCTGACTATATAACACTTCAAAACCTGCCCTCAGACGGAACATATATTATAGCCTGTTTTTTTATCATAGTCTTTTCATTAGATGAGTATAGCATTGTGTGTCTGTGTAGGGCTGTGTGTAGATGGATATGGCATCAGTGTCTATGACTGTGTGTATATCTCAATGTAGAGTATAATGTAAATTCCATGATTGTGATTCAGTGTGCGTTATGTTCTCCCTCCCTGTTTCAGAGTGCGGAGGAGCACTGTGCATTTGTGAGCGTGGTGAGCTGCAGCCTGTGCGTGTTCCTGGCTGTGTTTGTGCTGGTGTGTACAGAGACCCTGACCCAGCGCTGGAGGAGACTGCTGGGCCTGGTGGTCTGGGCCACTCACCTCACCATGGGATTCACCTTCATCTTCAGCGGACCCCTCATCCTGCCCTGGGACCAGGTATACGCACTCACACACACGCACACTCTCTTCTCTAACCCTAAAGAAAGGTTACACGACAAAGCCTGTTGGCTTTAATAATAAAAATAAAAGCCCACTTCCTTTGTCCTCTTACTCTCCTCCATCTTCATACCAGCCAGTTTATTAGGTACACCCATCTAGTACCGGGTCGGACCCCCCTTTGCCTCCAGAACAGCCTGAATTCTTCGGGCATGGATTCTACAAGGTGTAGCGTTCAAACGTTGCACAATTGCTATCGAGGGACCTAACGTGTGCCAGGAAAACAACATTACACCACCTCCACCAGCCTGTACCGTTGACACCAGGCAGGATGGGGCCATTGACTCATGCTGCTTACGCGAAATCCTTACTTCATTATTGCAGAATTACGTTTCACACAGTTTCTGTTGCCTTCCCTAAAGAAGTTATCTGATTTAAGATCTACATCACAGAGCACACAATCTTCTCCATGTGATAACAAACAAAACCTGATGTGAATTTCAATTCTGGCACACATTAGATCCCTTGATACCAATTGAGCAACTTTTGAACGCCAGACCTTGTAGAATCCATGCCCCGACAAATTCAGGCAAAGGGGCACCGACGATCATACCACGCTCAATGTCGCTTAGGTCACTTATTTATGCCCTTTCTAACGTTCAATCGAACAGTAACTGAATGCCTTGATGCCTGTCTGCCTGCTTTATATAGCAAGCCACAGCTACGTGACTCGCTGTCTGTAGGAGCGAACCATTTTCACGAAACGGGGTGGCCTACCTAATAAACTGGCCACTGAGTGTACATACATTATATACACACATGAACAGAAGCATCAAAAAGTTATGTTTGTCTAGTTATAGCATCTCTTGCCAGGACACTGAGGTGACAGTTGTCCAGTAAAGCCACTTGTTCTTTGGGTAGTGCTGCCAATCCGAGACTCTTTCCCCACAGTATTTCATGTCATATCAGTCTGACCTATCTCTCGATCTCATTTTCTCCTGTAGGTTCCCTTCTTCTTGTTCATCATCTTCACAGTGTACACCATGCTGCCTTTCCAGATGTGCTATGCTGTGGTGCTCAGTGTGATCTCCTCACTCTCTCACATCATGGTCCTCACTCTACGCCTCACTGTCTTCAACATCCAAGACCCCAGCCCCTTTCTGGCCAATCAGGTGTGTTATTAGTTATGCTGTTAGTAACACTTATACATGTGTTACATGATCTCCTGGTGATGCATGACGTTATGTATGTTCACGATGTTGTGCTTTAGATAGTTTTCTATAAACAGGAAGTATCTATAAACAGGAAGTATCACAGCATATGTGTGTGTGTTAATGACTCATGTGTCATGTATGTTTCAGCGAGATTGTGTGCTATAGTGTTGTTGTTGATGTCCTGTAAGGAGTTTCTAAGGCGTAAGGCACATTTCTCTGAAAACGGACAATAAAATGCTTACGCTGTGCAGCTAGGTTTTAATGTCTGTCCCTCTGTCCCCAGCTGCTGTCCAATGCGGTGGTGTTTCTGTGTGGCAGTGTGGTGGGGGCCTTCCATAAGGTCCTGATGGAGAGAACACTAAGACAGACCTTCCAGGATACACTCCGATGTCTGGGCATCCGCATGAAGCTGGAGATAGAAAAGAGACAGCAGGTGACAACATCTCCTTATCAGACACTACGCTATCTTTTTGAATTTAGTTCTTTAACTTTTATTTAAGGAAGGACGCTTGAGATTAGGAACCTCTTTGGCGAGGGCGACCTCCCAGTGTATTAGAAATCCTGTTCTGGTTGAATAACATGCTTTTGGTGTCTCTTTCTGAACAGAGGCTGACCTGACTGAAAGACAGGAAGTATGAAAGACTAATGAAAGTTAATAAATTGTGTTAGGCTAAAAATTTTGTCATAATAGCACTGGTTAATTGTTTACTTAATTTAAGACCATCAGCCTTGTTGTTTTCTAGCTTGTATTTTTCATTACGATGATCAAATCCCCCTCAAATTAAATGTTATTGTAATGATCTTTTAAGTAGATGTCTGTGTGTGCTCCGTTAGTAAAAACGGGTGTCTGTTTCAAATGGCTTTTTAACCATAATTTTTTTTCATTTGTAATGATAATTACTTAGGAAGTGACACCACACTCTGTGAGAGAGAGGAGGCTGCTGGCTGCTCTGTTGCCTAGCAGGACAGAATGGAATGATATAATCGTTAACATTTGAGCTGCCTCTGTTCTACTCTGTTGTATTGAGCCCGAAAAAAGGAGCAGTGCCACAGGGGTTAGCCAAAGAGAACAGGCCCCATAAAGAGAAGAGGGAAGGGAGGGTTTGAAATGGGTCCCAACGCTGAGGTGAACAGTAACTCCCCCCGCATACACCGAGCACTCTGCCATTGTTCTCTAGGCCCAGTCAGATAGAATCTGCCAGATCAATTACAGCACAGAGCTGAGCTGACTGTACCAAATCAAGGCCACTTTGTGCAGAATGACTTTCCATGCTTTACGGTTTACTGGAAAACCTGCTCCAGTCATTTGAACCAGGAGGTGGTAATCTATCTGTGAGAGCATGTAGGCCTAGCCAGTTGCCCCATGACACTAGTCTTGGGTCAGTTTAACATTTCTCCCACTAATGGTTAAGGTTAGGATTTCATCCTAGATCTGTACCTAGGGGCAAACCCCCCCCCCCCCCCCCCATGGATGCAGCCAAACCAGTGGAGAGAGAAAGGAGAGGAGTCAGGTGCCTCAGTATCACATCATAAGGGTGAACAGGAATTATGGGGTCAATAGGGATTGAAGAATAATGATTTCCTGAGACATCTCCTTATGAACTTCTTAGATTCTCATCTCACCTGACTCTATTCCATCCCAGAGGCTCTCAATGTGATGTTCTCTCTGTCTGTTGACTGGCTGTACAACCAGACTGGCAGCACAATGATTATAAAGCTTTTAACAGTAATCTGAGTGAATGGGGACCTTGTTAGTGCAGTTACCAGATCAGCAAGACACTCTGACAGCTGGTTGATACTCAGACTGGGTTTCTCCCTGATTGGATGGGTTCATGACCTTTTGTCTATCGGACAGTGTGTGTGGTTGGGTGGGTGTGGTGTGTTGATGCTAACGTGTGTGTGTGTGTGTGTGTGTGTGTGTAGGAAAACCTGCTGCAGTCTGTGCTGCCGGTCTACATCTCCATGAAGATGAAGCTGGCCATCATGGAGCGTCTGCAAGACTGCAAGGACAAAGAAGAGCAGCAACGACTCGTCAAAGACAACAACTTCCACAGTCTCTACGTCAAGAGACACGAGAACGTCAGGTACAGTACAACAATAGCCTGTCATGTACTAAGAATATCACTGAGAAACATACAGCATGTTCAAATAACCTGTTATGTTCTAAGAATATTACTAAGAAACATACAGTAGAATCCAATCCTTTGCTGTCAATCATTGCCTGTCAAACTAAGCATGGTTTTCAGTCTACCAAACGGCACACATGGGGAAATATTTCCCCAACCCAAATGTTCTCTTGAACGAAACCCCGCTTGTGGCTTTAGCCTTTGATTTTCTCATTCCCTGCCTTTACATTTTGGCTTCACTTCTCTTTTGCTGCTTTTCGACTGTAACACTAGTGTTACACCAGTGTATATACCCTTATGTTATACTAGGGAAATGGTGTTTCCATAGCTAGGGCTGACAGTGAGTACTTGAGAATAGCAGAATCAGTTGCTTTGTGAGAAGGTGTTAAAGTTCACAGTTAGCCATTGTTATGTAAATGCAAGCTGAAAGGTACCAGTGGCCTGGCTTTGGCCCCAAGTGAGAGCAGGTCCACCGGAGCCATGGCTCAGTGAGACCTGGGTGCCGGCCCGCATATATGGAAACAGAAAGGTCTGAGCCTTGGGTAAAACACTGGGTTAAATCCTAAATTATTCTGCTTCATATGTTGCATGTGTGCTTTGAATAGTTAGTATAGTTTGTGTTCTCTAATTTCATGATTTTCCCCTGATTCCTCTGGGACAGGGATGGTCGACTCCAGTCCTCAGGGGTGTGATTGGTGTCACACTTTTGCCCCAGATAACACACCTGACTCCAATAATCAACTAATCATGATCTTCAGTTTAGAATGCAATTCGTTTAATCAGCTGTGTTTGCTATGGATGGAGAAAAAGTGACACCACTCCGGCCCCGAGGACTGGAGTTGCCCATCCCTGCTCTGTGAGGTCTATTTACACTCACAATGCCCAGTCAGTTCTCATGGAATTTAGCAGGACAGTGTTAGCTGAGCATTGACCCAGATAAGGCCTTTTGTTTTATGGGCATTCATTTAGAAAGTGCTGACAGACATTGGCTTTGTAGCCTATCCAGTGAACCTTAGTAGATAGCTCAATAGATTCCCTAAGTTTTAGACTCTGTAATTGTTACAGACTGGACTGTACCTTCTACCTTCCTGGAGAGAGAGGGAGCCCATTTGTTGCCCAAATGAAGGTCAACACATCAACACTCGTCGATCTTCTCAGTAGCCTGACAAACTGACATTTGTAACTACCTGGTTGATTTGTTGATATCGCACTGCTTTGCTTTATCTTGGCCAGGTCGCAGTTGTAAATGAGAACTTGTTCTCAACTGTCTTACCTGGTTAAATAAAGGTGAAAAAAGTAATAAGTTTAGGCCCGTAATTAATATGATTTCATAGAAAAGGAGGGACATTTAAACTGTCTGATCTGAGAAGGCCTTGTGAAAATCAAAGACCGTATCATGTGCTGCGGTGGCTCAGCTAGTGCGTGAATCCTCATTTAAGCCCTTTGGTGTGTTACTGTGAATTATAGCCCAAGCACCTCCCCATTTGATCCTTGTAATGACACGAGACATGCTTGTCATTAGACATGTTCTTTCAGAGGAAACACCTGGTCGTTGTCAGTCAGAGTTACTGGGCGGCCATGGTTCTCTGGTCTGGTCTGGTCTGCCGAGCAACAGGCTAACGTTAGCTATTTTAATGAGGACTGACCTTGGCAGCAGTTAGTGGGACACTGACCTTGGCAACAGTTAGCCCTCTGAGCCCTGGTAATGAGCCAGTGATTAGGCAGTGGCGGCTGGATGTGTGGTGGCCCGGGTCAGGTGCTCTGTGTGGAGGACAGGGCTCACAGCAAGCTTATCGCACTTCCAATCAGTGTACTGTACAGTGCTTCCCCTAGGATCTTTTTCAACAGCTGTGGCAAAGTTAGCGGGGCGGGGGGGGGGGGGGTTAGTGGACGTGACCAATGGCAAACATTTTAGAGGCCGTCCTCTTGGCTGCAGACAATTCATTTGATGTTTTAAAGCTGATTTCATGCAAAACATTTTGCCATGGGCGGAGAAAACATTTTTACACTGAAAACGTTTCACCATCCCGGAAAAAAAATAGCGGTGGCCCGCCGCTGCTAAATGAATATAGGGTAAACACTTCTGTAGTTTAAATCTTAGAGCCAAACCCCTTATCACAATCTCCCTTCTACTCAGTCTTCACCTCTCCTTTCTAGCCCCATAGGATTACTGCTCACCCAGGATAGGACCTCCAACTGTAATCAGTTGGCCCCACTCCATTTCAACACCCCAGGAGTCAACCTTTATCTGACAATGACACCCTTGTTTGGTGATGCAACAACATTATTTTAATTTAATTTTTTTGTCGTTTAGCAGACGCTCTTATCCAGAGCGACTTACATCAGAGTGATTAATCAGTGTAGTGCCAGCTTGGTCGTATCCATGCAGACGACAGATTTCTCTACACGTCATTATGACACTGATGTCTTGACTCCAAATGTCCTGAGCCGGTCGTGATCAGTAAGCATGAAATGCAAGAAAATGCTCGGAAACTATCTAAACTTCTTGTTTTCTTTTGCAAAACGCGTGTCTTAATGAACACACCCTTGGCTTTTCTCTTTTTGCAGTATTCTGTATGCTGACATTGTGGGCTTTACCCGATTGGCCAGCGACTGCTCTCCGAAGCAGCTGGTCATCATGCTCAACGAGCTGTTTGGGAAATTTGACCAGATTGCAAAGGTGAGTTAATAATTTGTAAGATTTGCACCTTTAGTTAAATTAACACTGACCTTTCAGCTTTTATTAAATATTTAGCTACACTTTTATGTTTATTATGATAACACGACAGTGTGGTAATGCATAATCCACTTGTTATGTGTCATAATAGATTTATTTTATGTATATATAGATAGATTTTATTTCAATATGTACATGTAGTTCTTGGGCTGGACATGCATGGATGTCTTGTGTGTTTGGTTCTTCAGGAGAACTTCTGATACCTAATTTGTGTTAATGCTAAATCCAGTTGACATGTCTGCTTCTTGGATGGTCTTCATGGTCTATGTGGTATTTTTCTGTTTTATTCTTCAGGAGAACGAGTGCATGAGAATCAAGATTTTGGGAGACTGCTACTACTGTGTGTCTGGCCTGCCTGTCTCCCTGCCCATGCATGCCAAGAACTGTGTGAAGATGGGTCTGGACATGTGTGAGGCCATCAAGTGAGTTCAGAGGAGCCCCAAGGCCTTCTGGGGGGAAAACAATTACTAAAACGTGTGATCCTTTTGGTTAGTTCCAAGACTTTAGCAACACATATTCTCATTAGATTGTGAGATTAATAGCGTATATTGTAAATCAAAGGTGTTAAAGGATAGTAGGGAGGGTAGTGTTATTGTATAATGCAATAGGGACTTTCTGGCCTAAGTAGTAGGTGTTGATGTGAGTTGTCTGGGTCGATGGTGGTTATGGGAGTGAGTTAGTTCTCGGGAAGGTGTTGGTCTATAATCAGGTGTTGTGGAGGACTGGAGGGTCTGTCAAAGGAAGGCTTTATCTTGGCACCTCTCTGCCCTGCCAAAATAGAGGTCAAAATCTCAAAGCTCCATGTTGGAAAATCAAATCAAATGCTATTTATCACATGCTTCGTAAACAACAGGTGTAGACTAACTGTGAAATGCTTACTTATGGGTCCTTTTCCAACAATGCAGAGTTAAAGATAATTTTTAAAAATAGAAATAGTGACACAAGGAATAAATACACAGTCAGTAACAATAACGAGTAAAAATAACATGGCTATATACAGGAAGTACCAGTACCGAGGCGATGTGCAGGGGTACGAGGTAATTGAGGTAGCTATGTACTGTACATATAGGGAGGGGTAAAGTGACTAGGCAGCAGGATAGATAATAGACAGTAGCAGCAGCATGTTATGACAACAAATAAATAGTTGATTTGTTCAGCTGGCTCTGACGTCAAAGCAATAAGAAGGAATCCCAGTGAAACCTCAATGAACACACACACACACACACACACACACACACACACACACAGCTGACAGGTTCTCATCCCGCCCCTCAGACTGGTGCGCGAGGCCACAGGTGTGGACATTAACATGAGAGTGGGCGTGCACTCCGGCAACGTGCTCTGCGGTGTGATTGGCCTCCGCAAGTGGCAGTTTGACGTGTGGTCACATGACGTCACCCTGGCCAATTATATGGAGTCTGGAGGCTTACCTGGGTATGTTAGTAGTTGAGTTAACCATGTATGATAAACATTAATTTACACTAACTTTAATCCTTATAGTGGCATTTATTATTAAGTTACTAGTAGTAACCTAGTCCTAGTAAGTCCATTTTACTAATAGTAACCCCCCGTCTTTGTCATGATCAGGCGTGTCCACATCACTGAGGCCACCCTGAATCACCTGAACAAGGCCTATGAGGTGGAGGAGGGGAACGGTGGGCTAAGAGATGCCTACCTGAAGGAGCTCAACATACAGACATACCTTGTCATCGATCCTCGTGTGAGCTACCTCATTAAATGTATTACCTCCAGAATCCCTGACAAGGGCCTTATCTGTATATGTGAGACTGAGACTGTACTCCTCATTAACTTGTGTGTGTCATCAGTCTAAGGACCAGGCTCTGAACAGCCGCATTTTGCTTAAGCCACGTGTGAATGACGGGCTGAAGATGCGGGCCATCAGTGAGAATGACCCGTTACCTGGAGTCCTGGGGCGCCGTCAAACCCTTCGCCCACCTACAGAGCAGAGAGGGGTACACCACAGACCCCATGGTCAATGTAAAATCACGCTGCAAGGTGAGTGACGGGTAGAGGGCCACTGCATTATAACTGATGAAAAGATTACCAGGCATACTTCCTCTAACAGAAATAGTCCACCTCATCAAATCAAGCATAACAGGTTGAAATGTATTGCTACAAGCATCAGTATTTCCTGTGGAAGACTGTTGATGGCATATTTACATGCTGCTTTACTTCTTGTTGTTTTACGCACGATTTGTCTAACAGTTTAAAATTATTTTTTAGGACATCCCCCTGCGCACGAAGATCACTGAGAGGTAAGGAAGGCCAAGTCTGAGAACACAGAGAGGATGGGTTAAATTGTTTATATGTTAACAAGAGCCCTGAATTGGCATCATGTCAGAGTGGTGACGTCAGACTCCCCTTACTGGAGTGGTACTCATGCTATGCGTCAGTCTGTTGATACAGTGGGTGTTTATGGTTGTGGAGGTGTATGCAGGAAGCCAGTTATTTTTTTGAATTACCAAATGCAAACGACAGATCAGTGACTCTTAATTAAATGTTAAGCGATTTGTAAGTCCACTTAATGTTACACATATTGTATATAAAAGCACAAACGCATTTACTTTTTATAAGGTCATCAAGTTTGGTCGCAAAGGGCATGGAAGTCGTCTCTTTTTCCCCATTACTGACAAAAGCTGAATCACTTGTGAGTGCAGTAGACAGGACAGGGAAGTAAGAAAATTGCCCCGTAAAACCTTTTTTGTCTCGGCTGTGGTTCTAGTGGACATCGATACTGTGAATGGACACTTAACAGGAACCGGCTGTATTGCTTCTGATGTGGTCGGTGGCCCTTCCTATGTTCTTTCATTTGGTCATGAACCTCTTCATGTCATGTTTCATCAAAACAAAATAGTTTCTTTATTCAGGTACAATGTAAGCTTCATTCATATTTGATCCATTCTACAGAGACAATAGACATTTGTTGTTTTAGCAGTCACAGTACTATACAAAAACACAAGGACACAAATGAATCCTCACATACAACACACAACAGTCCCATACAGCGACAACAATGTCACCATGTTAAATGTGTGTGTATCTCTCACTGTTGGTCCCTGACAGCTTTGATGAGTCTGTAGAGGAGCCCTTCTCCTCGCCCGCCCCTCCGCTCAGCACCTATAAGTGAGTGGAGCCAGCCTGGCTCACAACGCAAGTTCTCTCTTCTGAGTGGAGGAGGAGAATCTTGATGTTTCACCAGCACCATTAACCTCCAACCCTTCTTTCTGGGTTAACACTTCTCTCTACCCACCATCCTGCCTAGAGCTGCCTCCCTCTTCTGTATAACAGGGCATCACAGGGATTCCCAAGCCTTTACAAAGCAAGCAGGGCATAGTAACCACTCCCTACTAAGTGTTTAAAGTGTGTGTCTTTGTTTTCCCACTGGAGTTATGTGCTGTTATAAACACTGTGTGTGTCTCTGTCTGTGTGTGTTTCCTTCCTGGTGGGGCAGGGGGCACAGAGCAGGGGTACTGCTGGGAGACTCCTGTTCAGTCACCAGAGTTCAACTAACACACGACATCCTGCACACACACACACACACTATAGAATGAATGACAGACACACACCCCTTCTCTCTGTTTCCACTAATGCTGAGAATGGCCTAAACCAGTTGCCTCCCTGCACAGCACACTGAGACTGAATAACCTGCATGACCTTGGCTGGTTTACCAGCATCCATCCATCTGTCTGTCTGTCTGTCTGTCTGTGTGTCAGTATGTCTGTCTGTGTGTCAGTATGTCTGTCTGCGTGTCAGTCGGTCTGTCTGCGTGTCAGTTGGTCTGTCTGTCTGCCGGTCTGTCTGCGTGTCGGTCTGTCTGTGTGTCTGTCTGTCAGTCTGTGTGTCTGCTAGTCTACCTCTTCCTTATTGTCTGAGTCTTTTACAGGAACAAGTCCCAGAAGAGCAAGTTTGATGAGGAGCTGCACAATGAGATGACCACCACCATCGATGAGCTCAGCAGCAAGTGAGTCTCAATAGTCACTAAATAGTCAAAATACATTCTGAGCATAGTCACTAGGTAGGACCACAAGCTTAAGCCTAAACTCAGAATTAAGGGTCTAATGTTATCTAATCTTCCTAGCCACCAACATGTCACTTGAGAAAAGTATTATTTGGCCAATTGTGAATAATATTGACAAAGACAAGTCAAAGCTATCTGAAAATTCATTTTACAGATTGAGTTGTAGAAATAGAGAGCTCGCTCTCACACACACTCTTCCTCACGCTCTCTCCCTGTGTGACCTCCAGGCAGTGGGTGAAGTCTGAGGAGATTAGCAGTCTGGCTGTGTGGTTCCCTAAGAAAGAGCTGGAGAAACAGGTGAGTCTGTCTGTCTGTCTCAGAGCTGTCTAGACACTGTTGAGAGGAGCATTGCTGTCCTAGTATGTACTGTAGTAGGTACATCTCCACAATGAAAATCTCTAGAACCTTATAGATACAATATAAAGAAAATAATTTTGTCTTTGGACTGACTACATCAGCAAGTCTAGACCAATTTACAGACTCACTCAAATAAAATAATATTTGTCACATGCGCCGAATACAGGTGTAGACCTTACCGTAAAATTCTTACTTACAAGCCCTTAACCAACAATGCAGTTTTAAGAAAATAGAGTTAAGAAAATATTTACTAAATACATTTGAAAAAATCATTAAAAAAATAATAACAATAAAATAACAATAACGAGGCTATATACAGGGGATACCGGTACCGAGTCAATGTGCAGGGTTACAGGTTAGTGGAGGTAATTTGTAGATGTAGGTAGGGGTAAAGTAACTATGCATAGATAATAAACAGCGAGTAGCAGCAGTGTAAAAACAAAGGGGGGGGGGGGGGGGGGGGGGTGTCGATGCAAATAGTCTGGGTGGCCATTTTATTAATTGTTCAGCGGTCTTATGGCTTGGGGGTAGAAGCTGTTAAGAAGCCTTTTGGACCTAGACTTGGCGCTCCGGTACCGCTTGCCGTGTGGTAGCAGAGAGAACAGTCTATGACTTGGGTGACTGGAGTCTTTGACAATTTATGGTCTCTATACACTGTGGAAAGGAACCTTACTGTCCTAATAAACTGTAGGTACATCTGTACAATGGCAACCTTTATCTAAGATACAGTATAAAGAAAAACATTCCTACTTGACATTTGAGTTCCTAACCATGACAACATGTTCACATGTTAAATGTTAGATTAGAATCTATCTCTTGATATGTCCGATTAGACTACACAGACCACACGTGTTCTTATATAATGTAAAACAGATTTTCTTAGTATTTGTGAGAGGTTCAAACATGCCTTCTTCTTTCCTCCCCAGTACCGAGCCATTGATCTGCCCATGTTCAAGCACTACATCGGCTGTGCCACCTTCATCTTCTTCTGCATCTTTGTGGTTCAGATGTTTGTGACAAAAGAGTGAGTGATTTACCCTTGTGGCTATAAGAAACACATTTCTTTACCGCTATTGACTGGTACAGTAGTAATAAGTTGTCCCTCTTAAACCATGGCAACGATAATGGCATGACAATCAATATTGGAACTTTTTGGATTCAGTGTTGGATCTTTCCCTTCTTCGTCCCTCAGTTCCAAAATGTTGGGCATGTGGTTTGGAGTGCTGGCCTGTGTCCTCCTGTTGACCCTGGGCATCTGTTTCGCAGGTCACCTGCAGGTCAGTGGGAGTTTTAGGCTGTGGTCACAACAAGCCCTATTTCTAGACAGGGAAAGGCTTACTTTACTGTGTGTGAGAGTGGGGGGTGGGGTACGCAGTGTGTGTACTGTGTGTATTTCTTACTGTGACAGTGGAAACACGCTTTCTGCATAGCTATTCCATCTATCCCCGGGTCTTTTCCTGTGAAGCTGTACGTTGCTGTTATGTGGCCATTGACACCTGGTGCCTACCATCTCAATGCCATGGTGTAGACAGACAGGCAGTGTAGTTATTACATTCACTAGTCAGAGATACACAGAGTGTACAAAACATTAGGAACACCTTCCTAATATTGAGTTGCACCCCCCTTTTCACTCAGAACAGCCTCAATTCGTCGGGGCATGGACTTTACAAGGTGTTGAAAGCGTTCCACAGGGATGCTGGCCCATGTTGACTCCAATGCTTCCCACAGTTGTCAAGTTGGCTGGATGTCCTTTGGGTGGTGGACCATTCTTGACACACACAGGAAACTGTTGAGCGTGAAAAACCCAGCAACGTTAGTTCTTGACACACTCAAACCGGTGCTACCATACCCCATTCAAAGGCACTTAAATATTTTGTCTTTCCCATTCACTCTCTGAATGACACACATATACAATCCATGTCTCAATTGTCTCAAGGCTTAAAAATCTTTATTTAACCGGTCTCCTCCCCTTCATCTACACTGACTGAAGTGGATTTAACAGGTGACATCAATAAGGGATCAGAGCTTTCACCTAGATTCACTTGTTCAGTCTATTTCATGGAAAGAGCAGGTGTTCCTAATGTTTTGTACACAGTCAGTGCTGCTGTCTTAGTCAGTCACACATTGTCTCAACATGGATGACTTCAATGTCACATGCTCACTCAGCTTAATTTCCTCTTGTCCCCCCCCCCCCCCCCCCCCACACACACTTATACACACTCACCCTGTCTTTCCATCCTATGCACCTCTTCTCTTCCATACATTCCCCCCCCCCCCCCCCACATCCCACATACACACTCATCCCTTCCCCTCTCCCCCTCCTATCCACTCTTCCTCTCCCATGCCTGGATGCCTCGCTCCTCCACCCCTCAGCGGTTGTTTCCGGAGAAGTTGTCGTCCTGCCAGTGGCTGCCTGCTGTGTCCGAGGCGGTGGTCAGGAGGCCGTGTGTGCGCCTCCCTCTGGTCACTATCACCACTGCGGTCATCATCATCCTAGCAGTCTTCAACCTGGTAAATTAGTACGGCGACTCACTAACTCACAGCTCACTGATTTAAACAGAACATAATGCCATCACATGTACATGCAATTACATCAACTTTTTATAGCAACAAGAGCATTAGCTTCTTATTGTAACAAGTACATCAAGTCATAAACAGACATGCCAATAACACATGCTTTACAGCCTTTGTGTTCTCAGAGTCAGACCCACTTAGTGGTTGACTGTCAATCAAATCTGCTTGTTCCCTCTAGTGCTTCATCCAGACGAAGTCACCGTGTGATATCAATGGTAACCCTGATCTGATTCGGTGGAACAACTCCAGTGAGCAGCATCTAGACAGCCTGTTCTACCTGCCGGTGAGAGATGCCTACAATATCCCTCACTAACAGGTTTTCTGTAGCTCCGTTAATAGAGCATGGCGCACTTGCAACGCCAGGATAGTGGGTTTGATTCCCGGGACTACCCATACATAAACATGTATGCACACATTACTGTAAGTCGCTTTGGATAAAAGCGTCTGCTAAATGGCATATTAATAGAACAGTTATGAAATGATACTTTCCATTTCAGTGTTTTTATTGTTGTTTGCAAATATAAATTACAAATAATAAACAATGAAATGAAGAACTGGCACTTTCCATTGATGAAGGTTTTCCTCGTCTCCTCACTCATTCTCTCTCTCTCCATCTCTCTGTTTGTCTCTCAGTACTCTGTGTTCAGCTGTATCCTGGCTCTCATAGCTTGTGGAGTGTTCCTGAGGGTGAGCTTTGAGCTCAAAGTGGTCTTCCTCACCCTGGCCTCCACAGCCTACTACATCATCATCCTCAGCTCCAAGGCTGATCTCTTCAGCTGCTATGAACGCATGCTTTACAACCAACTCAATAAAAACAGGTACTATAGCAGGTCTTGTGTACCAGGGCAGGGGTTGATTCAGTCAATTCAGGAAGTGATTCAGGAAGAAATGAAACATTTATATATTATTAAGTCATTTCTGAAAATTGGCCATTTGTTTTCTATGAAGATTGTTTCAATTCAATAATTTAATTTCAATCCACTTCCTGAATTGAATACTGAATTGACCCCAACCCTGTTCTGTACTGTGCATCAAATACCTGGTACTATATCCTGCCTGGTTTATACTGAGCTTTTCTTTAGATGACCTCTAACCCCTGAGCTCTGTGTTCTAGCACTGAGGACTCTGGGACCATTCTGAGGGCATTGGGGCTGGTCAAACACCCCGAGGTGATGAGCTGCATATACATCACCTTGTTCCTGGTCACCATGCTCATCATCTCACAACAGGTCAGGACATGTTCCCTCCTTTTCTTTGTTCTGCTCTCCTCTCTTCCCCTGCCCCTCTTCCCCCTCTCTTCCCCCGCCCCGCTCTTCCCCCGCCCCGCTCTTCCCCCGCCCCGCTCTTCCCCCGCCCCGCTCTTCCCTCCGCCCCGCTCTTTCCCCCGCCCCTCTCTTCCCCCGCTCCGCTCTTCCCCCGCCCCTCTCTTCCCCCGCCTCTCACTTCCCCTGCCCCTCTCTTCCCCTGCCCCTTTCTTTTTACTACTAATTGACCACATCACTTCTGTCCCGTAGAATGAGTCATGCTTCCGCCAGGACTTCCTTCTGAAGAACAAGAACCGTACGGAGCAGGATGAGATCGAGACCAGGGAGAACCTGAACCGCCTGCTCCTGGAGAACGTACTGCCGGCCCATGTGGCCGCGCTGTTTGTCGGGGAGAATAAAAAGAACGAGGTGGGATTCCTCACAAACACTTTACTTACTGAGAAGTACAAGGTAGGGGTCCAGGATGGATGACTGGTAGTGTACTGAGCCCAACTCATCCTCCCCTCCTCCTCCTCCTATCTGCACTGGGGTCCCATCTCCACTGGCCTGCACTCACTAAAGCTTCATAAGGAAACACTTAGTAGTGGAATTGATTGATTGGATTTACCCGTAAATGGTTTGTTACGATTTCCAGTAGGAATGTGGTTAGTGGTTAAGGGATGGAACCCCAAGGGTAAGGACGGTCCCACTTCTATGGATCATTGTACAGTATATCAGTGCCTGCCTGACCCCACCTACCAACCCACAGCTCCATGAATCAGCCCCTTCATAGGAATTGTGATTTGTGATGTCGTCTTTGTCAGCATGGTAGAGACAGAGCCACTGCATTCTTACAGCAAAGTCCTCAACTCCTACTGCCCCTACTCTCAGCCACTATCAAATAGTCCACATCAATGTCCTCAACTCCTACTGCCCCTACTCTCAGCCACTCTCAAATAGTCCACATCAACGTCCTCAACTCCTACTGCCCCTACTCTCAAATAGTCCACATCAACGTCCTCAACTCCTACTGCCCCTACTCTCAGCCACTCTCAAATAGTCCACATCAACGTCCTCAACTCCTACTGCCCCTACTCTCAGCCACTCTCAAATAGTCCACATCAACGTCCTCAACTCCTACTGCCCCTACTCTCAGCCACTATCAAATAGTCCACATCAACGTCCTCAACTCCTACTACCCCTACTCTCAGCCACTATCAAATAGTCCACATCAACGTCCTCAACTCCTACTCTCAGCCACTATCAAATAGTCCACATCAACGTCCTCAACTCCTACTGCCCCTACTCAGCCACTATCAAATAGTCCACATCAACGTCCTCAACTCCTACTGCCCCTACTCTCAGCCACTATCAAATAGTCCACATCAACGTCCTCAACTCCTACTGCCCCTACTCTCAGCCACTATCAAATAGTCCACATCAACGTCCTCAACTCCTACTGCCCCTACTCTCAGCCACTATCAAATAGTCCACATCAACGTCCTCAACTCCTACTGCCCCTACTCTCAGCCACTATCAAATAGTCCACATCAACGTCCTCAACTCCTACTCTCAGCCACTATCAAATAGTCCACATCAACGTCCTCAACTCCTACTGCCCCTACTCTCAGCCACTATCAAATAGTCCACATGATACAGACATAAACACACTAGCCAAACCACTGATAAGCAGAGTCACTTAATCAAAACGGTGTAATTAAAGTTAAAAGAAATTCACAATATTTATTCAAAACAAAAAGATATTACAGAGGATTGTCCATCTTGTCTTACTTCATAAGATATGATAAACTTACAGAAATTCAGAGCTTGGCCTACTTTTACCTCTACCGCTGAAGGCCATGGACATCCCCTCCACTATGATGTCTCCCTCACTCCGGCCCTCCACAGCCCAGTCACAGGGTTATGACCAGTGTTACCGCTAAATCACCATGGAAATAATTCAGCCTTTTAATAAATCTGGTTTAATTATTTACTCTTGACATGTTTTTCTGGGAGCACAACACAACAGAACAGCTATTAGTGTTTGACATGTAGGTTACAACCTGAGAAGTACTGTACTGAAGCCACTTCAGTTGTTAAAGATGAGTACTCATCAGCTTAGCTTGAACACTGCATCTACCTGAACGGTAATCCCAATGGATGGCACAGTGTCAAGTGTCAAATCAAACAACACAACAAAAATATGCTTTGAGGTTTACCTCAGAGATTTGACATCTAGGAGCAGAAGGATGGGACTTCGACAGCCTCCCACTCTCCCAGATAATGGGTTTTAGAGGCCCTGTTTAACATTGGCTCCCCTTGTACAGTCTAATCACTGGTCATTTCCTTGCCAGACGTAAACACAGTGAAAACAGTTAGGAACATCTGGCACTGGAGGAGCTGTTGTGGTGTCTGTCCCTCTCATCATTCTGAATTGTCTTTCTCTCAAAGATGTGGCTCTGTGCTCTGTCTTTTTAATATTTGTTGTGTGAACCTGAAACTTCCCTCTATCTCTGTTGTGAAGTGTATGTCTATGTTCTTCTGCTTAGTGTTACTACATGGCATTGCCTCTAAGTTGTACCCCTCCTTCCTCAGGATCTGTACTACAAGTCATATGACTGTGTGTGCGTGATGTTCGCCTCGGTACCGGACTTCAAAGAGTTCTACACGGAGTGTGACATCAACAAGGAAGGTCTGGAGTGTCTGAGGCTCCTCAACGAGATCATAGCAGACTTCGATGAGGTCAGAGAACCGCTGGCAGCCATCAACAATCTAAAATTACACATGTCCCAGTCATACAAATAAGAAAACTAACCCTGGCTCACACATCCACTTGTTTTCCCACACACAGCTGCTGTCCAAACCCAAGTTCAGTGGAGTTGAGAAGATCAAGACCATCGGAAGCACTTATATGGCGGCCGCAGGGCTGAGTGGCACCCCAGGACAGGAAAATAACCAGGTAGCTACTAACTATTTGACCCAGGTCATGTGGAAGGGGAGGGGTTACACAGCATGCAACTGTGCATACCTTTTGATTTTCTATACTATAGAACTTTACCATAAAACCTGGTTAACGACACAGTATAGATAAAGTACTTGAAATAACTGTCATTATGTAACTAGTAGTAGTATCCTGTGTGTGGACTTTATGATGAACCTGTGTTGTTTCAGGATCGAGATAGGCAGCAGGCACAGATAGGGAACATGGTAGAGTTTGCCATTGCCCTCATTGGCAAGCTGGACGGCATCAACAGACACTCCTTCAACAGTTTTAGGCTGCGTGTGGGTGAGTAAAGCTTGGGCACTGGCCTGGGCATATATTAACTATATTAATTAACTAGTACCATATACATTAACTACACATTACGTCTGCAATGCATCCGGTTCCTATCCATCTTTATTAGGGTTTCATTGGTTGTTATTCTAGTGCTAAGAGTTTTTCCTGAACAGCTGCGCCTGTTGGGAGCCCTAGTTATAGAAGAAAACACTCCTGGCCCTACGATACCATATCTATCTAATCACGTAGGAGGACATTCTTTCCAACTGTCCACAATAGCTAACATTGACTCTCCATGATACCGCTGGTCTCCCTGTGTACTGTTGTGACATAGTTCTCAGACAGCTTATTCTGAGCAGATCCCCCAGGCTTTAGGAAAACATTTATAATGCTCGAGAGATAAAAGCACACATTACGGTTTTAATACATAAACACAGAAAGCTGGCATGAAATACCAGATTTTTTTTTTAAAGGACTGGTGCATCAAAGGATCTGTGTCCCCCCCAAAAATCTAAATAACAAATGAAGTCCACATAATTCTCCCTGGAAGACATATTTTGTTAAAATGCAGAGTCCAACATGAACAACTGGCAGATGGTCTGGCTGAACAACTGGCAGCGGTGGCAGGTAGCCTAGCGGTTAAGAGTGTTGGGCCAGTAAACGAAAGGTTGCTGGTTCTTATCCCCGAGTTGACTAAGTGATACATTTGTCGATGTGCCCTTGAGCTACACTAATTGCACCTGTAAGTTGCTCTGGATAAGAGCATCTGTTAAATGACTAAAATGGAAAGCCATTTTACAGCTTTGACTCCCTGTGGTTGACTTGGTCAGACAAGCTGATGGTACTTGTTAGACCCTGTTACTGTATATCACTGAATTGAGCATGTCAATAATTTTTCCAGTTTTCTGTGTCGTCATGCTCTCCTCAGGCATAAATCGGTCAGTCTAGCTGATAGTCATTGTCTTGGACATCACATTCTAGTGGCTTGTTAGACTGGTGGGCTACTCTACAGTATGCGACTGGTTTAGCCCCAGCAGGCATCTCGTTATGTGTGCCCTGTGTCACTGTGTGCCTGCTTTTCACAGGCATTAACCATGGGCCTGTAATTGCTGGGGTGATTGGAGCCAGAAAACCTCAGTATGACATCTGGGGCAACACTGTCAACGTGGCCAGTAGGATGGAGAGCACTGGAGAACTTGCCAAGATTCAGGTTCAGTACAACAACCTAGTCTTGTCAGCCATACTCCAGTATTGTCCTAGCTAGTCTGGCTGGAGAGATGAACTATAACCACACAAAAACCATGGCTGCAGCATAGTCATGTTTGTCTATGTTTCTGCTCCAGGTCACAGAGGAGACGTCGGACGTGCTCCAGAAGCTGGGCTACTCCTGTGAGTGCCGAGGCCTCATCAACGTCAAGGGAAAAGGCGAGCTGACGACTTTCTTTGTGTGCACGGACATGAGCAAGCAGCAGGGAATGGGCCTGAGCTGAGGTCTAAGGTGAGCACACTACTGTGTGGACTCTGGGCCTGGAGGCTCATACGTGTGCTGGGTCGGTCGCAGGACATCACAGGACACAGTCTAGCATTCAGCACAGACTAATTAAACAAATGCACATAAGTTAACATTCTTAGAGTAAACCTACCAGAGCACACAACTATAATCCATCTCAGTGCTTCAGTCAGCGATGATCCTGACCGGACCAGAACAAGACATGAGAACATGACCTTGTGGTCCTAGAGGTTATATTTAGGATTGTTCGTGTTTCCAGGAATCCCTTTGGGATTTTTGGAGATCCAGTTCAAATGTGTGCATTCAATTGGACTGACATGGAGGTTACGTAAAGCACTGGTCGTCATCATACTGGATTCTATCACCTGATATTCGTAGAACCTTGCTGGAATCATGAGATGCACAAAAAACATCTTCAGTCCGCTCTTAAAACTGAGCTGTTTATCAAGCAAATGGTGACAAAAACAATGGAGTGAGTGCTGCTGCATGTTGAGTGACAGTGTACATACTCTCCTCATGGTTTTCTAGACCTTAAAAGGTAGACTAAGCGAAATGACGTTGTCACGAGCTGCACCGCAGATATTGCGATGAGTGAGATGCAAGACTTCGCTCTCACAGTCAAACAGTATCTGCACGGAACCAAAACAGCAGAGAAGTTTAACCTTGCGCTTCAACGCTCTGTTGTGGAAATTGACCCACTATGCTGTTTACTTTGGGCATCTACATCGTATCGCTGAGTCTACCTTTAACATAGTTTGTGTTCGTGGTTCACCCTTTAATAATCTCTTATTTTCAGTTTGGCTCATATGACCATGGGACTAAATGTAAGTATTGTAGCCAAATATCTTGCCTCCTGAAACAGCTGTGAGACCGATGGACAGTCTGTTCTATTACTGTGTAATGGACAGTTTTATATGGTGTGAGGTGTACGGTTTACCGATTTTGTCTTTCAAATTATCTTAGAACACACGCCTGATGACGACTAAGTGTTATATGCACAATATAATCAATTCTGAAGAGTAAAACTAAACATTCTGGTGACTTGTCATGTATGAAAAGTTTATTAATTTGACTCAAACTAAATTATCTTTAGAGAGCCTAACTCAGTGCTTCAGCCAGATTCAGCCATATTAGTTTTAAATGTATAGATTGCATTGACTGGCCAACATGAACCTGCAGTGTGTCTTATATGCTGCCTGTCTGCACATGCTTTCTGGGAATCGCCTGTCAAACTGACATTCTACTTGGTGTCCTTTGTTGACCTGCTGTCAAACAATCAACTGTCGCTTATTGTTGCAGTTAACATTATCAGACGAACACACAGGTTATAATAATGTGAAAATGACAATGCCGTTTTAGTGTAAGCGCCATTTTGAAAAGACCACCTGAAATCTCAGCCTGTTTGGTGGGATAGAGTTTTGGCCTGGCAGTAAATTAGTTAAGACCAATAAGAGAGTTCCAATCCTCTCGGCCAATAACAGCTTGTTTTCAGTTCTCCCCTCCCCAATCACACCATTGACAGTCCTAGCAAAGAGCAAATTAGCTAAGAAGCTGTTTAATTGAAAACAATCACAGTAACATACTTGTTACCCAGAAATGATTTGATAACGTCAGCATTAGACCTTTTAAGATACATTTTTCTCTGTGCCTCAAAACTGACTTGTTCTGTGGCCTTCCTCAACGTCTGACTGCCAAACGAATGTGTCTGTCGTGTTGCTTTCATGTTATGCTGTCTGAGGAATGTGTGAGTTTGCATTTTGTACAGTTGCGATGTAATAAATTGTTTTGCAAGTCGGTGTTTTAAAAGCTGAATCCCAACTTGATTTACGAAGACACGGAATAACAGATTGGATAAGGTAGATTTTTTTTTTGTATATATAAAAAAGGTTTATTAAATGAAATGCAAACAAAAAGCTTTTTGGACACTACAACAGATGGGATGTTATTAGGAGGATGGTTGCTGTGAATTCTGTTATACTGCGACGACTGGAATCTGCTGAACTTCAGGCAAGGTATCCATAGGCTCAACAGCCACTGGAATCAAGATGACAGACATAAGGGAATAGCTTTGACATTCCACAACATGTAAAAAAGTTAATTACATTCTAACACAATTAAATAAAACTTTACCCCCTCAGGGGCAATTAAAAGATAAGTCAGTTTTGCAGGTAGGCCTACCACTTCACTGAACACATTCACAAAATAAACCAGTATATGGTTAGAATGTTTATTACCCATAAACTAAATGTTAACCAGGGAAACATATTCTGGGTGGTTTAAGACTACCTGTGGTGAGGTCTATGAGTGGTTCATCTGCCTCTAGGGGTATAGCGATGCCCATGGCCCTCCTGATCCCATACACACTGCTCACATCTCCTGGAGCCACCTGACTGGTCAGTTGGGCTAGGTTACCAGTCACCTTCTCAGCTACAGGGAGACAAATTAGAAATTATATTAGAGCCCAACTTCAAGCCAAAGGTGGAGTCCAAATAAAGATCACTGGTAGTAGTGTAGCTGAGAAATCGAGGGCCCAGGCATTTCTTCCACTGGAATTAAAATTGAAAAGGGAATAGCTTTGACAGAAATTCATGTTTAGTCAGAACTGTTTCTGGTTGCACTATTTTTAGAGTTCAAACCAAAGCTTGAATCCAAATAAAGACTGTTGCTGTGGGGGAAAGAGGATATCTGGTCAGTTGCACAACAATGACTTCAACCAAAATGTGTCTTCTGCATTTAACCCAACCCCTCAATCAGAGAACCCCCCCCCAATAAAATACAGAGTGGAATTCCGTTCTCCTTTAAAAAGAAAAGGAAGTGTTACCCAGCTGCAGCTCCTTGGTTGTTGGGGCTAGCAGGCAGATGATGTTGGGGGGCTGCTTGACACTCAGGCGTTCCCTCTGCGCTTCCTGCAGCTCATGGAGGAGCTTTGTAGTCTCATCCAACTTCTGCTGGAAGATTTGGGCCTCTGATGCACATAAAGACATATACACACTTGATTACTTAAATATCCTAAGGAAGCTTACATTGACCTGTGCAGGGTCATCTACAATGGGTTCTATTTTCTCTCTTATCTTCATAGACTATATTCAACTGGGGCTGCATATGGCCTACAACAGCCCAGGGAGGCTACCTGCAAGGCTGTAGTAGTAACCAACCACTGGATCTGTCAGAAACACCTCAATTACCTTCAGGAAGGGTTCAAGCCTAGGGGATTTAAAATGTAACTCTTTGGCTCTCAGTAGCTTTAGAGAATGAACTGGCATGCTGTTGGGGTTTGCCCTTTGGTCAGTTAGAGGTGATCTTTACCCTCAGAGAGGAGGTCCGGTGGAGTCTGGAGGTCCAAGCCCAGGCCGATCACGGAGGCTAGCCTGCTTTCAGCCTGCTTGCTGGCCTCTGGTTCAACCACCTGAGGGAAAAACAGAAGGGTTAAAGAAAAGTTAGATTAGTAAAAGCATTTTTGTTTGGATTCCAAGTCACCCAGCGCTGCAGTCAGTGAATCTTTGAAATTGCATTCCTGAAAGGAGGCAGCAGCTAGGCCAGATATTTTCTAGTAGCTCGAGTCAATACCTCTGCCAGTCCCTTTCCAATAAAATCTAATGAAACAAAGAGCAGCAGCAACACCCAAGCAGGGATAAACTGGACGTTGGCCAAGCACAGCAAACAGCCGGGTACAGAGAGCTGCTGTGTGCTGAACAGGTCTGATGCTTTTCTTTACTCCCTCTACACTGCTGTGACTGAGGAGCCATTCAGCCGCCCAATGAAGGGAGCGCAGAAAGAAAACACAGACATTTCCACATCCCTGACACAGAGAGTGCGTGAACAGCCCTGGTCTCAGGGGCTGGTGGAGAGAGGCAGTGTTTTGAAGGGGAAATGTTCTTTCCGTGTGTTGGATCTAGCAGCTAGCTAACGAGCCTGCCATGTTGTTGACACAGCTGGAACACAACAGCTACGGCATGTGTAGAAGCTGTTAATATTATCCAACACTGTTGGTGGGGTGTGGGGGTTAGCTGGGGTTCACCTCAGGTGGGTGTCGTTGAGACCTAGGGTGTGGTGTCTCTCCTTTATCTGCTGAGGTTGTCCAGGTTTAGTGTCCTAGTGTAGCTGAGACTTACCTCCATGTCCTGGTCTCTAGTCTCAGAGGTTTCTGTTGGCCCTTGCTCATCTGGACGGGTCTGACGGGCAAGAACACATTAAGTTAGTGTCCAATCTTTTCCCCAAAATAACTGTAGCCATATAATTCCCATACAGATAAATGCATAGTGGTTCTACCTCTCTCAGGGTTTTGGAGTGCTCCCCGTTAGTCAACGCATCCAGGAGGTTGTCTGCCAGTTTGTACATGTGCTCCTCCGATTTGGACAGGAACTCCGAGAGGCTGCAGACACAATGACAAACACATTACATCAGTGTGTGTTTGTGTATCCTAGTCACATTTGCTCTCCTCTCAGAAGCAGCAGTAGGGTCGTATCAGGTTTACCATGTGTTCTTAGCCTCCACCACAGTGAATCTCATCCACGCCAACAGAACCATAAAACGCCTACTCTAATATACAAACCCAATGAAATACAGGCACATCTGGACTGTTATGCGCATGTTGGAATACTCAAAGCTTTGTTTTGCAATAATTTACAGTAAAGTAGGCCCTCGTTATTGTAAATGTCAGGTCCTCCCATAATATTACAGCGTAATGTTGGGGGAGGATGAGGAGCCACACATGCATACCTCTCAGATCCCTGGAGGCTGGCCTCCTCTCCATAGAAGGAGTAGATCAGGTCAGAGTCCTCTTTCCCGATGTTGGCGAAGCTCGAGTCGTAGGCGGGTGCGTAGGAGGTGTACGGACCGTAGTTCATGTACGATACTGCGAGAGCGGAGATTGGGTTACATTACAGCTCGTAAACACAGATGGAGATACATTTTATATGACTATGAAAAACTGATTTTTATAGAATCACAATCTGACATGGCTACATGACCTTATCAAATCTTAGGGAAAAACCAATGTTGCCCATGATTGGATTTATAAATGGATAGATTAAGACTGGTATTTATGTTGGTTTAACATTGGATTTATACATGTGCTTCTATACAAGCTCTGGGTTCAGTCCCTCAGGTGAGAAGAGGATATTCAGCCACTCTTGGGGGAGATGCTTTTTTATTATTAAACTCTGTCACTAAGGCCCCTTTCAGCTTACCTGGTGTGACCATGTTCCTCTTGTCCTCCTTGAAGCCCTGCAGGGTGTTGATGCCACTCTGCAGCCGGTTGGACATCATGCCCAGCTTCACAGGGCAGTAGCCCACATCTGTAGAGATAAAGAGTTGATTGAGAAATAGAGGCTCATTTACAATTAAAAGCTGATGATTTTATTATACTTGTTAGGTTAAAAACATGGCATTTTGGCCCACCAACAGCCTTCATCAGAAGGACAGAGTTAATTACATAGTTGGAATCAATCATGGATTCCCGTTTTCCCATGTTGCACAAATAGAAATGGAGATAGCACAACTAGCTAACTGTGGCCGTGACTATGACTGGACCTACCTCCAGCAACAAGGTCAACTGGGTTCAGGATTGCCAGTGTGGTGGAGCCATCAGACTTCCTCCTCTCAAAGTCCAGCTACATAACGAAATAAAACAATAGTCATATTATTACATTAGTGGACATAATGAATATGTTCACTAAATTAGACAATACATTTCCTATATTATAGATGGGTTAAGAGAGCTTGGTTGGCCTAAACAGATTGATTAAGCCAATTCCATAGCCCGTAGCTCTCTCACCTCACTCTCCAGCCCTCTGTTGGACAGTTTGCCTCCTGAATCTTCGATGAGCTTGCGGATCTCTTCAAGCTCCTGCTCTGCCTGACTGACAACCTTGGACACTTCGTCTTTGGAATCATTGTCTTTCCTGGAAGTATTGGAGAACACAGACAAAGTATAGACGAGTAAGAGACTTTGGAAAGTGATTCATAGGGCTTCATTGTTCCAATACCAAAAGGATCACCAGCAAATAGGAATTTATTTTGCTGGCATTCATTGGTGATTACAATACGTTTTGAAACACTATCATAACATCTAAATCTAATAGAGAGAATCAATTTAATACTATAGCTACATGTTCCCAATGAATATGCTGCCAATATACTTTCAAACAAACTTCACATCAAATCTTATAAGTCCTCATGCTGTAGTCTGTTATTTGCTAAAGCATTTTCTACCCATTACACCTCAGTGGGGTTTACTAGGACAACAACTCCTAGGTTTCAGAGACTGATTGGTGTGAAACGTGCTGCATAGTGCTGACTGAACACAAGACGTGACACGCTCAGTCATTCCTTTAATTCTCTCTCAGCCTCTAGCCAGAGTCTGTGGAAAGAACTGATCCACCAAACACTTGGGAGGAGAACAAGCCCACAGCACTTGGACACTACCCAAGGCTTATTAACATTAGTGGGCAATACTACTTCCTTGCTTCCTGGTTGGGATCTGTGTTGGGTAAATGGGCGAGAACAGCTTCTCACAGTCTAATCTATGAACGAGCACCTTACCCCCTATCTGAAATCTATATATTACAGTGGCTTGTGAAAGTATTCACCCCTCTTGGCATTTTTCCTATTTTGTTGCCTTACAACCTGGAATTAAAATTGATTTTTTGGGGAGTTGATTTACACGACATGTCTACTACTTTGAAAATGCTAAATATTTGTTATTGTGAAACAAACAAGAAATAAGACAAAAAAACAGAACTTGAGCGTGCATAACTATTCACCACCCCCCACCCAAAGTCAATACTTTGTAGAGCCACCTTTTGCAATAATTACAGCTGCAAGTCTCTTGGGGTATGTCTCTATAAGCTTGGCACATCTAGCCACTGGGATTTTTGCCCATTCTTCAAGGCAAAACTGCTTCAGCTCCTTCAAGTTGGATGGGTTCCGCTGGTGTACAGCAATCTTTAAGTCATACCACAGATTCTCAATTGGATTTAGGTCTGGGCATTGACTAGGCCATTCCAAGACATTTAAATGTTTCCCCTTAAACCACTTGAGTGTTGCTTTAGCAGTATGCTTAGGGTCATTGTCCTGCTGGAAGGTGAACCACCGTCCCAGTCTAAAATCTCTGGAAGACTGAAACAGGTTTCCCTCAAGAATTTCCCTGTATTTAGCGCCATCCATCATTCCTTCAATGCTGACCAGTTTCCCAGTCCCTGACGATGAAAAACATCCCCACAGCATGATACTGCCACCACCATGCTTCACAGTGGGGATGGTATTCCCGGGGTGATGAGAGGTGTTGGGTTTGCGCCAGACATTTTCCTTGATGGCCAAAAAGCTCAATGTGTGTACGGCTTAAAGTGGTCCTATGGACAGATAATCCAATCTCCGCTGTGGAGCTTTGCAGCTCCTTCAGGGTTATCTTTGGTCTCTTTGTTGCCTCTCTGATAAATGCCCTCCTTGCCTGGTCCGTGAGTTTTGGTGGGCGGCCCCCTCTTGGCAGGTTTGTTGTGGTGCCATATTCTTTCAATTTTTAAATATTTGATTTAATGGTGCTCCGTGGGATGTTCAAGGTTTCTGATATTTTTTTAATAACCCAAGCCTGATCTGTACTTCTCCAACACTTTGTCCCTGACCTGTTTGGAGAGCTCCTTGGTCTTCATGGTGCCGCTTTCTTGGTGGTGCCCCTTGCTTAGTGGTGTTGCAGACTCTGGGGCCTTTCAGAACAGGTGTATATATACTGAGATCATGTGACACTTAAATATAGTCCACCTGTGTGCAATCTAACTAAATGTGACTTCTGAAGGTAATTGATTGCACCAGATCTTATGTAGGGGCTTCATAGCAAAGGGGGTGAATACATATGCACGCACCACTTTTCCGTTATTCATTTTGTATAATCTTTTGAAACAAGTAATTTTTTTTCATTTCACTTCACCAATTTGGACTATTTTGTGTATGTCCATTACATGAAATCCAAATAAAAATCCATTTAAATTACAGGTTGTAATGCAACAAAATAGGAAAAAACGCCAAGAGGGGTGAATACTTTTGCAAGGCACTGTAGTTTATGGTTTATGTAAATTGTGTCTGAGATCGATATCCATATATGATGACTCTCCAAGCAATTAATAACTAAAAGCATATTGTCTGTTCATGTGCAGGGTAAAGTTATCACTGTACCTGGGAGTGTTTGGTGCAGACTGGGCGGTCTCACTAGGATCTATGGGGCTGGGGCCGTCTTTACACTGGTCCATGCTTGAGTTGCCCACCTCTCCCGTCTTCCCTGACTGGTTGGCTGGGTTCTCCAGGTCAGCCATGAACTCAATACTCTGCCTCAGGCTCTCAAGCCTCTCCTGTGGGACAGAGAGAGAGTTGACACAATTTACGCCACAATCCCTTGTTATTCCAATCTAGTGGTCTTGTTATTACAGACTCTTCTTGGGCCCCAATAATTTAAACAAATATAAAAGCATTGTGGTGAAGATGCATTTCTAAACATTCAGGGGTATGAGAAGTCGTATGGCGCCCTCTGCTGTTCATGTGGCCACAAGCGATTATTTCATCCAGGCACAAGTTTAGTGCCGGTTTCCTAGACACAGATGAAGCCTTATCGAGGACTAAAACGCATTCAAGGGAAGATCCCATATGTATGTGTGAGATGTATGTGTTAAATTTCCTTCTGTAGACGCACTCTCCTTACCGGGCGGAGGATCTTCATGCCAGAATGGAGCAGCTTCCTGGCAGCTTTGTGGTAAATGGTCTCTGGCTTGTTGTAGATCATGGCATTCTCACACATGATCCTGAAGTCCACCTGTATCAATGGAGACACATGGCAGTCAGTCACTGGACTCTGCATATGTTAAACATTGGTTTTCTATTTAAATCAACACTTCAAGCTTGATTGTCAATCAATCCACTGCTTTAGAATGACAGATGACTAAAGAAAGCTATTCTGGAAGAGTTATTCGGCAAGAAGGTAGTGCAGTTGACAGGTGTACCTTGAGCTCCTCCAATGACTGGTAATACTCATTCTTGACTTTCTCCTTCATCGCGCCGAAGTCCATGGGCCGCTTGATGATCGTGGAGTAGCCAGGAGCGATGAGGTCAGTCACAGGGAACGAGAAAAACGCACTTGGATCTTTCCTACAAGAGAAAGTCAGTTGTTGCTTTGTTAGGCCTCAATGCAATTTTATTTTACCAGATAAGTTGACTGAACACATTCTCATTTACAGCAATGACCTGGGGAATAGTTACAGGGGAGAGGAGGGGGATGAATGAGCCAATTGGAAGCTAGGGATGATTAGATGGCCATGATGGTATGAGGGCCAGATTGGGAATTTAGCCAGGACACCGGGGTTAACACCCCTACTCTTACGATACGTGTCGTGGGATCTTTAGTGACCACAGAGAGTCAGGACACCCGTTTAACATCCAATCCGAAAGACGGCACCCTACACAGGGCAATGTCCCCAACCACTACCCTGGGGCATTGGGATATTTCATTGGGATATTTTTTTTAGACCAGAGGAAACAGACTGATAATCAATTAAATGTCAATTTCTTAGTAACAAGCTTCACCTTTGGAGCTGTCTGATGAGCTGACTCAAGGCTTCCTGCAGTGGGGTCAGTTCTTTCTCTGAGAATGAGAGTGAGAAAGCACGCAAGAGAGAGGTGGGTAAAGAGAAGACGAGAGTAAGAAAAACAGATAAATAATGGTTAAAATGTTTCCATATATTAATAGAAATTAAAGGCCAAGAAAGGATTACGGAAAAGTGGCAGCCATTGTAGAAACTGAGGAAGTAACTTACCTTCCACTTTATTCAAGGAGGATGCCAGATCTGAACGGACAGGGGTCCTGCTCGCCTCCCTATCATCCCAGTCTGTATCAGCGTCCTGTCCCTTCTTCTTCTTTGTCATCTAAATGCACCATATAAACATGTTCGTTGACACTTAAATTTTCATTTGTGATAGTAGATCACCTACCCATCACAGTCTATGGGCCAAATAAACCCCTTTTTGAATTCCGAAAATCAAAAGACACCTCAAAGTTTTTGAAGTATTGCTCTTGGGCGATTCAATGTAGTCAGAGCTGAATTCCCCAAAGGCTGGTATCTGCTCCACTCAGTTGGTGGAGTTCATCAGACACTTACACATGAGTGGAGTTTAGTCAGCTAGCACCACCCATGCCATGGAATGAAATGGTAGCTACTCTCCCCTAGAGATTTCCCTCAAAAACAGTACAAAGGTAAACAGGGGCTGTAATCAAAATATGGATTCCCAAACTCACCTTTTTCTTTTTCTTGTCATCAACTGGTGACATGGTATCATTCCTTTCCTTATCCTTTTTCTTCTTCTTTTTCTTGTGTTTCTCTACATCTGGATGTTCGTCATAAGTGTTTTCAAAGCTCGAGCTCCCAGTCGTCACCTCATTTCCAGCAACCTTCAGAACCAATTTCAGTGGTCTCTCCCCGTACTCTGTAGATGGGACACATTGGGTTAGCTGTACGTACACTACCGTTCAAAAGTTTGGGGTCATTTAGAAAATGTCCTTGTTTTCGAAAGAAAATCAATATTTTTGTCCATTAAAATCACATCAAATTGATCAGAAATACAGTGTAGACATTGTTAATGTTGTAAATGGCTATTGTAGCTGGAAACGGCTGATTTGTAATGGAATATCTACATAGGCGTACAGAGGCCCATTATCAGCAACCATCAGTCCTGTGTTCCAATGGCACGTTGTGTTTGCTAATCCAAGTTTATAATTTTAAAAGGCTAATTGATCATTAGAAAACCCTTTTGCAATTATGTTAGCACAGCTGAAAACTGTTGTGCTGATTAAAGAAGCAATACAACTGGCCTTCTTGAGACTAGTTGAGTATCAGCAATTGTGGGTTCGATTACAGGATCAAAATGGCCAGAAACAAATAACTTTCTTCTGAAACTCATCAGTCTATTCTTGTTCTGAGAAATGAATGCTATTCCATGCGAGAAATTGCCAAGAAACTGAAGATCTCGTACAACGCTGTGTACTACTCCCTTCACAGAACAGCACAAACTGGCTCTAACCAGAATAGAAAGAGGAGTGGGAGGCCCCGGTACACAACTGAGCAAGAGGACAAATACATTAGAGTGTCTAGTTTGAGAAACAGACGCCTCACAGGTCCTCAACTGGCAGCTTCAAATAGTACCCGCAAATGGGATGCTGACCTTCTAGGCAGAGTTGCAAAGAAAAAGCCATATCTCAGACTGGCCAAAAGAACACAGACACTGGTAAAAGGGATCTTGAAGAAGGAAGGCTATCACTCCATTTTGCAAAGCCATGCCATACCCTGTGGACGGCGCTTGATTGGAGCCAATTTCCTCCTACAACAGGACAATGACCCAAAGCAAAGCTCCAAACTATGCAATAACTATTTAGGGAAGAAGCAGTCAGCTGGTATTCTGTCTATAATGGAGTGGCCAGCAGTCACCGGATCTCAACCTTATTGAGCTGTTGTGGGAGCAGCTTGACCGAATGGTACGTAAGAATTGCCCATCAAGCCAATCCAATTTGTGGGAGGTGCTTCAGGAAGCATGGGGTGAAATCTCTTCAGATTACCTCAACAAATTGACAACTAGAATGCCAAAGGTCTGCAAGGCTGCAATTGCTGCAAATGGAGGATTCTTTGACGAAAGCAAAGTTTGAAGGACAATTATTATTTCTATTAAAAATCATAATTTCTAACCTTGTCAATGACTACATTTCCTATGCATTTTGCTATATTTCCTATTCACGAGGAAGATTAACAGCAGACGCTGTTATCCAGAGCGACTTACTGTTAGTGAGTGCATACATTTTCATACTGGCCCCCCGTGGGAAACGAACCCACAACCCTGGCGTTGCAAGCATCATGCCAGTGATTCTCTCGTTAACACAGGTGAGAGTGTTGACGAGGACAAGGCTGGAGATCACTCTGTCATGCTGATTGAGTTAGAATAACGAGATTGGAAGCTTTAAAACGAGGGTGGTGCTTGAAATCATTGTTCTTCCTCTGTTAACCATGGTTACCTGCAAGGAAACACGTGGCGTCATCATTGCTTTGCACAAAAAGGGCTTCACAGGCAAGGATATTGCTGCTAATAAGATTGCACCTAAATCAACCATTTATCGGATCATCAAGAACTTCAAGGCGAGAGGTTAGATTGTTGTGAAGAAGGTGTCAGGGCGCCCAAGAAAGTCCAGCCAGGTGCCAGGACCGTCTCCTAAAGTCGATTCAGCTGCGGGATCGGGGCACCACCAGTGCAGAGCTTGCTCAGGAATGGCAGCAGGCAGGTGTGAGTGCATCTGCACGCACAGGGAGGCGAAGACTTTTGGAGGATGGCCTGGTGTCAAGAAGGGCAGCAAGGAAGCCACTTCTCTCCAGGAAAAACATCAGGGACAGACTGATATTCTGCAAAAGGTACAGGGATTGGACTGCTGAGGACTGGGGTAAAGTCATTTTCTCTGATGAATCCCCTTTCCGATTGTTTGGGGCATCCGGAAAAAAGCTTGTCCGGAGAAGACAAGGTGAGCGCTACCATCAGTCCTGTGTCATGCCAACAGTAAAGCATCCTGAGACCATTCATGTGTGGGGTTGCTTCTCAGCCAAGGGAGTGGGCTCACTTACAATTTTGCCTAAGAACACAGCCATGAATAAAGAATGGTACCAACACATCCACCGAGAGTAACTTCTCCCAACCATCCAAGAACAGTTTGGTGACGAACAATGCCTTTTCCAGCATGATGGAGCACCTTGCCATAAGGCAAAAGTGATAACTAAGTGGTTCGGGGAACAAAACATCGACATTTTGGGTCCATGGCCAGGACACTCCCCAGACCTTAATCCAATTGAGAACTTGTGGTCAATCCTCAAGAGGCAGGTGGACAAACAAAACCCCACAAATTCTGACAAACTATACGCATTGATTATGCAAGAATGAGCGGTCACCAGTCAGGATGTGGCCCAGAAGTTAATTGACAGCAAGCCAGGGCGGATTGCAGTGGTCTTGAAAAAGAAGGGTCAACACTGCAAATATTGACTCTTTGCATAAACTTAATGTAATTGTCAATAAAAGCCTTTGACACTTATGGAATGCTTGTAATTATACTTCAGTATACCATAGTAACACCTGACATATCTAAAAACACTGAAGGAGCAAACTTTGTGACGACCAACACTTGTCATTCTCAAAACTTTTGACCACGACTGTATATTCCCAAATTTTTGAATGTAACCAACTCAAGTTGCTGCTGACAGTTCGCTGGCCGGCTAGCTCAACTGTAAGGTAGCCAACTAGCTAGCTAACTTAATAACTAGTTATGTTGCAAACAACAACAGACCACCAACATGGCGAGTTAGCTAACGTTACCTCGCTACCTGGCTAAAATATGTAAATGAGTAGATAGCTAGCCATTTCAAAGTTCAATCTTTGGTTCAATGCATATAGGATAAAAGATAAAGCGGACAGCAATCTAATTAGATAGCTATATTTTAACATCTGTCAATTAGCTAACGTTAATGAGCTCGGTACATAGCATATGGCTAAGCTAACATGCAGTGAATTCAAATGGGTGATTATGCGCTAACTAACGTTAGCTAGCCTGGCTGACCAAAGCTCGCGCGTAGACCGCTATGAAGCGCGAGCATTTTAATGGTCCAAGAAATTCAACCAATACCAGCGCATTGTCTATTTAAATGTGTCTTACCTTCATATTTTTCAGACTTGTGCTTTTTATGCTTCTTGCCCATTATTTATATGGTTTGAATCTTTACGCTAGCTAACAGGCAGGTTGTTCTTTGTTTTCTATCCTGGAAGGGATAGCAATCGATTGCGGAGTGCTGGTTTTCTGCAGCGCCGCATGTCGGCTGGAGGTAAAATCACATTATTTTATAACCATGTTCAATGTTTATTAGTAGACAAGCCAAACCTACCTAACATGTCCAGTGTCCATGTTGTATGTTTTTACTGTAGTTATATATCTTTTTTATTGTGTCAGAAATGGTCCCTTCAAAAGGATATAAGAATGTATCAACTTTAGTCACCTGTAGGGGGCGTGATTACCACAGGATTGGTCTCAAGGTTTTCCTCAACTTCTAAACTGGACAGCAGATTCAGAAGCAATGTAGGCCTATAGTCCATAATGAGGTGATTGTCCTATGACGTCATCTCAGCTTCCTACTGAGTCATTTTGTATAATAATACATGGACACTTGCTTTAGAAAGGTGAAGCACTCTAAGGTTATCAGATGCCCCTGGCCCGAACAGTCAGGCAGACTGGTTAAAACAGACGGAGCCGAAACAACTGAGCCATTGTGTGTGAGAGGGATCCCAAACACAGAGGAACGGAGGGTCAATGTAGCCTCTGATGTGTGAGTAACAGGCTTCCCCTCCGTGCCCTCTCTGGAGCCAACTAGGATAGACAGCTAGACCACTGTTTCTCACCTCTTTGTTTTTGGGGCCTCCACCCCCTCACTTCGGAGACACGATAGGGAGTGAATAAGTCAATTTACTCTGAGTAAATGTATAGAAATAAATTAGGTCCAGAGACAGTAACTTTGACCCACTAACTTCCACATGGCGGTTGCCTGTCCCACTTTCCATTTCCCTCCTCTGTGACTTTTCACTTTGACCAGCATGAAAGGCCAACTGATCCAGGACACATTTGTACTGTATGTTTAGCTTTCCCTGAGGCAGCCCCCCCCCCCCCCCCCAGGCCATTCACTACATTGTTTACTTTACATTTCCACCAGTCCAGTCTGCCTTTAGTCCTCTGTCGGACTGTCTTTGTGTGGATGCCCACACTCTACAACAGATAGATAATAATACTCTAACGTGAGCTTGCTTTGAAACATTGCATTTTTTCTCTATCATATAATAACTCCTATTGTCATTATGGATCACAAATAGGCGTTTTACTTGCCCTGGCCTGGGCCCAAGACCAGCAAACTGTGAACTGTCCAAAGGGAGAGATAGCCCAAGCTAACACTTGTACATGGCTTATTATTAGGACACTGCACAGGCTTCTGCTCTGCCTCTATCCCCTTCCGAGCTGTTATGCTCTGTTAAATCGGCACATATTTTGCAGGCCTATGAATGACAGATGTTTTATTCATGGAGGGAAGAAAGTGTGCATTCTTTGAAGCACATTCCAGGTTTTATGAAGAGGCAGAGGATGGCGGCCGAGAATCCAGTTGCTCATAATCAGAATCGTTGGGAACGAAAAGAGACAGAATCGGCCTTTCCGGCCATACCTTCCTTTCAGATGGAAAGGTGATTCTGAGGCTCTGATGAATGTATACTTTTTAATCTATGGCTAGGCAAAACAATCCTCAATGAATTATAATTTATCTGGATATCAACTCCACTACATTTATGTGACATGATCACATTTTTACATTTCAAAGTTGATCATTGAGGATTCTTGTTGTATTCTATCTGTACAGCAAAACAGCTTAGTTGTCACGATCGTCTGAAGGAGGAGACCAATGCGCAGCGTTGTGAATGAACATGATGACTTTATTTATCAAAGCAACCACGAAAAACAACAAAAGACGATACGTGAAGTTCTCTATGACACCGACTGAACATAGCACAAGGAAACAATAACCCACAAAACACAGGAGAAAACACACAGAATATATATGGCTCCCAATCAGAGATAACGAGCCGACAGCTGACACTCGTTACCTCCGATTGGGAGTCATTAACCAATCACCAAAAACACAAACAAATGAAACTCACCCAACCCAACACCACCAAATGAAATACACCCTGGCTCTAACACACAGTCCCGGAGCCAGAGTGTGACAGTACCCCCCCCTAAAGGTGCGCACTCCGGGCGCACCAGCATACAGTCTAGGGGAGGGTCTGGGTGGGCGTCTGTCCCCGGTGGCGGCTCTGGCCCCGGTCGTGATCCCCACCCCACCGCAGTCACAACCTGCTTCGGTAGCCTCCTCCCAATGACCACCCTCCAACTAACCCCACCTGGACTAAGGGGCAACACCGGACTAAGGGGCAGCATCGGCCTAAGGGGCAGCACCGGGATAAGGGGCAGCACCGGGATAAGGGGCAGCACCGGGCTAAGGGACAGCACCGGACTAAGGGGCAGCACCGGACTACGGGGCAGTACCGGACTAAGGGGCAGTACCGGACTAAGGGGCAGTACCAGGCTAAGGGACAGCACCAGGATAAGGGACAGCAACAGGATAAGGAGCAACACCGAGCTAAGGGGCAGCACCTGACTAAATGGCGGATCCTGGCTGGCTGGCTCTGGCGGATCCTGGCTGGCTGGCGGATCCTGGCTGGACGGCTCTGGCGGATCCCGGCTGGACGGCTCTGGCGGATCCCGGCTGGACGGCTCTGGCGGATCCCGGCTGGACGGCTCTGGCGGATCCCGGCTGGACGGCTCTGGCGGATCCCGGCTGGACGGCTCTGGCGGATCCCGGCTGGACGGCTCTGGCGGATCCTGGCTGGACGGCTCATGGCTGGCTGACGGATCTGGCTGCTCATGGCTGGACGGCTCATGGCTGGCTGACGGATCTGGCTGCTCATGGCTGGCTGACGGATCTGGCTGCTCATGGCTGGCTGACGGATCTGGCTGCTCATGGCTGGCTGACGGATCTGGCTGCTCATGGCTGGCTGACGGATCTGGCTGCTCATGGCTGGCTGACGGATCTGGCTGCTCATGGCTGGCTGACGGATCTGGCTGCTCATGGCCGACTGACGGATCTGGCTGATCCTGTCTGGCGGAAGGCTCTGGCTGATCCTGTCTGGCAGAAGGCTCTGGCTGATCCTGTCTGGCAGAAGGCTCTGGCTGATCCTGTCTGGCAGAAGGCTCTGGCTGATCCTGTCTGGCGGAAGGCTCTGGCTGATCCTGTCTGGCGGAAGGCTCTAGCGGCTCCGGTCTGGCGGACGGCTCTGATGGCTCATGGCAGACGGGCGGCTTTGCAGGCTTTGGGCAGACGGGCAGTTCAGGCCCCGTTGGGCAGACGGCAGACTCTGGCCGTCTGAGGCGCATCGTAGGCCTGGTGCGTGGTGCCGGAACAGGAGGTACCGGGCTGAGGACACGCATCTCAGGGCTAGTGCGGGGAGAAGCAACAGGGCATGCTGGACCCTGGGGACGCACCGTAGGCCTGATGCGTGGTGCCGGAACTGGAGGTACCGGGCTGAGGACACGCATCTCAGGGCTAGTGCGGGGAGTCGGAACAGGGCATGCTGGACCCTGGGGACTCCCATAACGCCTAGTGCGGGGAGCCAGAACAGGGCATGCTGGACCCTGGGGACTCACCTCACGCCTATTGCGGAGAGCAGGAACAGGCCGGGCTGGGCTGGCGACGCGCACCGTATCCCTGGTGCGAGTGGCCGGAACAGGCCGGGCCGGGCTGGCGAAGCGCACCGTATCCCTGGTGCGTGGAGTAGGAACAGGCCGGGCTGGGCTGGCGAAGCGCACCGTATCCCTGGTGCGTGGAGTAGGAACAGGCCGGGCTGAGCTGGCGACGCGCACCGTACACTTGGTGCGTATGGCAGGAACAGGCCGAACCGGGCTGGCGACGCGCACCTTACACTTAGTGCGAGGGACCGGAACAGGCCGTACCGTACGGGGAACACACACTACTGGCTGCACCTCGGGACTAGGAACGGGCCGGACCGAACTGGTTACACACCCCAGTACCTCACGCCGTGCCTCAACACTTTCCTTCCCTGCTTTACCCAGTAGCCCCCTTGACCTGGTAGCCCACTGAATCCGTCCCTTCTCTGCCTCCGTCAGCCCCCTTAACCTGGCAGCCCTCTGACTCTGCCTTGTGGCAGCCTCCTGCTGCTCCGTCGCCCAAGCCATGTGCCCCCCCCCAAAAATTTCTTGGGGTTGCCTCTCTTCCACGGGCTTCCAGCCTCGCCTTCGCGCTGCCTCCTCGTACCACCTCCTCTCGGCTTTGGCTGCCTCCAGCTCTTCACGAGGGCGGTGATATTCCTCCGGTTGTGCCCAAGGACCCTTTCCAGCCCGAATCTCCTCCCATGTCCAAAAATCCTTAGGAGGCGTCCATAACTCCTGTGTCCAGACCCTTTGCTCCTGGACGCGCTGCTTGGTCCTTTTATGGTGGGTTATTCTGTCACGATCGTCTGAAGGAGGAGACCAATGCGCAGCGTTGTGAATGAACATGATGACTTTATTTATCAAAGCAACCACGAAAAACAACAAAAGACGATACGTGAAGTTCTCTATGACACCGACTGAACATAGCACAAGGAAACAATAACCCACAAAACACAGGAGAAAACACACAGAATATATATGGCTCCCAATCAGAGATAACGAGCCGACAGCTGACACTCGTTACCTCCGATTGGGAGTCATTAACCAATCACCAAAAACACAAACAAATGAAACTCACCCAACCCAACACCACCAAATGAAATACACCCTGGCTCTAACACACAGTCCCGGAGCCAGAGTGTGACATTAGTGTTATCACTGTCTGGCCCACGCAAGCAAATACCATTTTTATTTTGCCCTTAAGGATAACAGTTTTAAGCAGTGAGGTAAATCATGTCAGTTGATTTAAAACCCATCACATTCAGAGCTCAGGTTCAGCTCAGGCTTAATACTGTTACTGTCTGGTGAGTTCTGATACAGAAGCCTAAATGAGGAGCATCGGATCCAGTGTCGCAGCTTCTTTATCAATAGTCTCGACTATTATCTGCCTGTGTTGTCACTCTCTATCCCTCACAAGCCTTGGGGAGAGAGAATCACTGTCCAGTACTCTGTGTCCCTTGAAACTGAGATAAGGCTCAAAACCATTCAAAACTGACATGTCAAATCTTCACTTTTCTTGAGG